TTTCCTAAAGGTCGAAATTTCAGACAAAAGCTACCGTAATCTGGCCAGTTTTTCTTTGATCAGCCAAATTCTAGCCAAGTTTGATCGAGAGAATCAAAAGGCTTACAAGAAATGGCCAATAGAAATAAAATAAATAAAATGAGCTCTTTTTATCTCTTTAGGCAAGGCGACGATCGAGTGGCTGGATGGTCTAGTGGATAGTGAGTTAGGATACCACCGAGCTTAAAGGTTCTGATCTCCAGGTTTCCCGAATCCGCTCACTGCTGCTTTCTCTTTTGTTCTTTGCTTTTCTTTTGTAAATACTTTTTATGATTTCTCTTTAGATTCTTTAGATTACCAAGATCCAAATGGCCAGGGATCCAAATGGCCAGGATCCAAATGGCCAAGATCGAAATGGCCAAGCTCCAAATGGCCAATCTCCAAATGATCAAGATCCAAATGGCCAGAATCCAAATGGCCGAGCTCCAACCGACCAAGATCCAAATGGCCAAGATCCAAATGACCAGGGATCCAAATGGCCAGGATACAAATGGCCAAGATCCAAATGACCAAGATCCAAATGGCCAAGCTCCAAATGATCAAGATCCAAATGGCCAAGATCCAAATGGCCAAGATCCAAATGACCAGGATCCAAATGGCCAGGATACAAATGGCCAGGATTTAGTAATGGCCAGAATCCAAATGGCCGAGCTCCAAATGATCAAGTGATCCAAATGGCCAGAATCCAAATGGCCGAGCTCCAAATGATCAAGATCCAAATGGCCAGATCCAAATGATCAAGATCCAAATGGCCAAGATCCAAATGGCCAAGATCCAAATGACCAGGATCCAAATGGCCAGGATACAAATGGCCAGGATTTAAATGGGTAGACTTGTCTATGGCGCAAGCTTATATAAAGCGGGTAGCCTTCTCCTACATTGTCCCCTACATCGTCTCCTACATCGTCCCCTACATCGTCTCCTAAATCGTCTCCTACATCGTCTCCTAAATCGTCTCTAAATCGTCTCCCTACATTGTCCCATCCTCACAAACAATAATTCTATCGATAATTTTATATTCCCTAAGCCCCAAATAGTAAATTGTGCTTATGTGTGCAAAAAAACACCAATAACCCCTATTTTTGATTATTAAATGATTAAATTTTGCGAAAATGATCTAGGGGATTTATTTTTGCGAATGTTTAACAAAAAAGAAAAGAAAAGAAAATGATTTCTAAAAAAATCAACTCACCAACATATTTAACCACTTTTGACGACCAATTCGACGAATATCAATAAAATCGAGAATAATTTGAGCGAAAACCAGCGACAAAACGATCATTTCGCAAGCGAGTCGGATCTAGAAGAAAGAAAAAAGAATTCAGTGCACTAGAAAGGTTGTGTTTAACCTGTTTAGAACACATTAAACTGAATTTAACACAAAGTAAACCAGAGATCTTTAAAGTAAGCCTTTAAAGTAAGCCTTTAAAGTAAGCCTTTAAATTAAATCTCTTCACTCACCCATCCAAATCAATATAACGATCGCTCATTTTAGAGTAATCTCGTAAATGACACCAAGTGGTGTTTCCTGGGAATGTTTCTGGGCAACCAATTGAGTAAGCTTCGTCAAATCCAAGATCGAATATTGTCGAAAATCAAAATCAAAATCCATAGCTTTCTTTAGCGATTTTACCGTATTCCAATCGATTTCTGGATCGAGTTTCTCCCATTCCCAGATGTCGTTCGCCGGTAAACCCGTTTCGCAAACGTTTTGATTTGTGAGAGCCTTTAAATTTCCCTTTCTATTCTTTCTATTCTTTCTATCTTTCTATTCTTTCTATCTTTCTATTCTTTCTACCTTTCTACCTTTCTATTCTTTCTATTCTTTATTCTTTCTAAGTCACACATCTTTTGTAAGCACAATTAAAGCCTAAACATCATATAACATTGAAATCTTCCCAACCGATGTCGTCATGCTGATCGGTCGTAAACTGAAAGCGGCAACCAAAAATATGTAGTAGATGACGAAACTGATCAACGAGATGCACCAACTAAAAAGAATTTAATTCAATCACCAATTTGCTATTAGATTGGGAAGAAAATTCGTAAAAAAGTTTGTACAATGATCTCTCAAAAGCCAAGCCATCAATTCTTCCCAAATCTACTCCAAAAAATCGTTTTTGGGGCAAAAAGTGAGCTGGACAAGCTGGAAAGTAATAAAGTGGAGGCTCGATAGTAAATCATTGAAGGGATTCTCCAAAAATGATTTACTATTGAGTGATTGACTGTCGAGTGATTACTATCGAGTGATTACTATTGAGTGATTGCTATTGAGTGATTACTATTGAGTGATTACTATTGAGTGATTACTATTGAGTGATTACTATCGAGTGATTACTATCGAGTCATTTATTATTGATTTACTATCGAGTGATTTCCTCCTCGAACCTCGACTGTACTTTTTCGAGATCTCAAAGTTTTTATCGAAAAATTGCACTCATTTTTACAAGTAATTCCTTGACGTCGATTTGTAAATAATAGAATAAAGTGTTCTAGAATTCGTTTTAAAGAAATTCAAGTTCAAAACTGCAAAGACTTTCTGGACACCCTATCCGTTATTGCATATTCAATTCAATATTTTGATTTTGAAAATTTTTATCTTCAAAACCTCTTTTTTACCTAGAAAAATCGTTTCACAAAGAATCTTCAATTCTTTGATCAAATCTATTCAAATCAAACACGATTCTGATTTTGTTCATTACTTTAGTACCTTAACGGAAGGTTTTTCTTAAAAACCATCGAAATTACGCCCCTGTCAGCTCCGAGCCAAACTGATATTTTAGTTACTATTGTTATTATTAAATGATTTGTCTATTCTTATGCAAATGTGTCCTCCCCTGTGCTTATCCCTTTTATTGCCGAGAAGGGGCGGTCCTTGGGATTGCCTAAGAGGACCTAGAAGAAGCTAGAAGGACCTAGGAGGACCTAGAAGGAGCTAGGAGGAGCTAGAAGGACCTAGAAGGACCTAGAAGGATCTAGAAGGACCTAGGAGGAGCTAGAAGGACCTAGGAGGAGCTAGAAGGACCTAGAAGGGCCTAGGAGGAGCTAGAAGGACCTAGGAGGAGCTAGAAGGATCTAGAAGGACCTAGGAGGAGCTAAAAGGACCTAGGAGGACCTAGAAGGACCTAAGAGCCTAGGAGGCCTACATCCCTTCCAATAAGGCAATGGGATTGCCTAGGAGGACAAGTGAGACTCTCATTTATCCCCTTCCCTTACACTTATTTGTAATCTATTCGTCTTATTATACTACTGTAAATAAAGATACATATCTTCCGGGTCTATGCAACTGCAGTACAGGTCGGTCATTTCACAGGGACTCCCCACTAATACGTTGGAGGAGTTGAGTTGGGTTGTCGGGGTGTTAGAGATGGCGGGATATCAAAAGGGATCCACTCTCTTTAACTTAACCCAAATTCTAGTCCACATCCGTTTATACCTAGGAACGAATACCCCCCTTTTATTTATTTATTTATTTATTTATTTATTTATTGATTGATTTATTTATTTATTTATTTATTTATTTATTTATTGATTTATTTATTTATTTATTAATCAAATTCTTGATCAACAATAATTTCTCAAAAAAATAGCAAAAAGAAATGCCTTTTTTTCGTTTTTTAAAAGAACTTATGGAGAAACTATCATTTTAAAATTTAGTTTTCTAATGCAAAAACATTAGAAATCTATTAGACATCTATTAAAAAAGGTTTAAAAATCGGAGATAAGATTTCCATAAACATTTCCTAATGAGAGAGTCTTAAAATTAAAATTCCCTTTCTATCTTTCTATTCTTTCTATCTTTCTATTCTTTCTATTCTTTCTATCTTTCTATTCTTTCTATTCTTTCTATCTTTCTATTCTTTCTATTCTTTCTATCGATTTTCTCTACAAACCGCCTCCTTCCATAAGCAATCCACTTGCTTTCGATGATACTTTCGAGAAGGCCATCCAACAGTTCCAAGTGATCCGTCGATTCCTTAATCAATTAAAGCTATCGTATCCCAAAGAAAAATCCAGACAACAGCAATGATAAATCTATCATACCGTAAACATTCAATAGAAACTTCTATTTTCTATTTTTCTACCCTCTATTTTTCTACCCTCTATTTTTCAATGTCCCTTTACAATTCTAGCATTTACAAAAAACACTTGTTTCCCCTATTGAATTTGCTTGTAATTGAGTTGAAATTGACTTAAAAAGATGAAAATTTTAAGAAAAAACACTTTTTATTTAGTGAAAACTAGAAATTAATTGGTGAATTAATGGGAATTTCTAACTTTTTTTTAGAAAATCATTTTTTTTCCTCTTCTTCTTCTTCTTCTTCTTTTTTTCTCAGCCTCTAGATTTTCCCAACTACACTTTTGATATCAAAAAATACTAGATTTCAAGAGCTATCATTTGATGTCTGAACAAAAACTGTAGCTTAAAGTAGAGCGGAGAACGGGGTGTTTAAAGTTAGACTACGCGGCGATACGCTGTCATTAGGTTTGATTAGAGGGTTTTATTAGAGGGTTTGATTAGAGGGTTTGATTAGAGGGTTTTTTAGAGAGTTCTATTAGAGAGCTCTATTAGAGAGTTCTATTAGAGGGTTCTATTAGAGAGTTCTATTAGAGAGCTCTATTAGAGAGTTCTATTAGAGGGTTCTATTAGAGAGTTCTATTAGAGAGCTCTATTAGAGAGTTCTATTAGAGGGTTCTATTAGAGAGTTCTATTAGAGAGCTCTATTAGAGAGTTCTATTAGAGGGTTCTATTAGAGAGTTCTATTAGAGAGTTCTATTAGAGAGTTCTATTAGAGTTCTATTATTATTTCGATTATATCTGAATCCAACCTTGTTCCCTGACACTTACCCCATAAACAACAAGCGCTAGAGCGCTCTGCTCGTTGAGTTCCCCATTTTCTTCATTGATTGTGTCGATTTTCGCTAATGGGTAAGCGGTCTAAATGAAATTTATAAACAAATAATAACTAATAACAACTAATAATAACTAATAATAACAAATAATTACAAATAAACCTGTGACGAGTCAGCATATGACCAAATAACATCAGCTTCCATTCCCAAAATCTCAACAAACATCTCTCTTTTTGCTAATTTTGCGGCTAAAGTTAATGGAGAGAGTTGTTGGCGATTCACAATCGACAATTTCGCGTCTTTTTCAACGGCAAGACGAAGCATTTTCTAGAAATTCAATATGTAAAATCATCCTGTCTATCGCACTGAATCCTTTCTTTTTCTTCTTGCTTTGCACCAAAGAATTGTGCACCAAAGAATTGTGCGCCGAAGGATTGAGCACCAAAGGATTGTGCACCAAAGAATTGTGCACCAAAGGATTGTGCGCCAAAGAATTGTGCACCAAAGAATTGTGTACCAAAGAATTGTGCACCAAAGGATTGTGCGCCAAAGAATTGTGCACCAAAGAATTGTGTACCAAAGGATTGTGCTTACAAATGCACAAAGTACAAGCACAAAGTACAAGCACAAAGTATGTTCAAGTTCTCTTAGACTAACCAGATTCTCATGGATGACACACATGTGCAACACAGTGTTCCCGTTTGAATCCTGGGCATTTGGATTTGCCTGGAAAATGATGTAGATTGAAATCCGAGAAAACCTTATGCAAGGAAACCTTATACGCAATCAACAATCGGAAACAATCCTCGTCGTTCATACAAGCAGCAAATGAGAGCGGAAACTCGCCGAAATACATCCGACTGAACTGGGGATCATGATTGTGGGATCGTGATCATTGCAAATGAGATTGTGATCGACCAAAGCCTTCACTTTGTACAAGTCTAGTATCAAAATATAGCCTATCAATTGGGCTACGATGATATAAAAAACTTTTCGAAAAACTTTTTGTTTAGTACAAGAAAAATGACGGCAAAGTGAAGCAAAGTGGCAAAGGCAAAGCACTGACTACAGCGCAATGCTAACAACGATGTGTCGTCTTTTGTAGTCTTAGTGCTATCACTTGTAGTGTTAGTGCTTTATCTAGTTAATGGCAAAGAGAAATTTTGTAAATTGTTTGAATGATTCTTGAGATATTCACTCTTAAAAGTAAAGGCTTTTGAAAAAATAAAAAGCCTTGAAAAAAGCAAGCCTTGAAAAAACAAGCCTAGGCAATAATATTGGCAATATTGCCTAGGCCTAATATTGCCTAGGCCTAATATTCCCTAGGCCTAATATTGCTTAGGCCTAATATTGCCTAGGCCTAATATTGCCTAGGCCAAATATTCCCTAGGCCTAATATTGCTTAGGCCTAATATTGCCCTAGGCCTAATATTCCCTAGGCCTAATATTCCCTAGGCCTAATATTCCCTAGACTTAGAAGCTGTTAGTCAAAAGTCCCACAACCATTCAGTCAAAACCAAGTTCAAAATAAACCCCGTATAATTCGTCTTCAATGGTAATTGAACGGACTCCTCGTCGGGCAAATCGGCTCGATGATTTTTCTGATCATCAACACAAAAGAAAGCACCATAACATCTAAAAAGCTTTTAGCTAAAAGATGATGAAGTAGTTTAGTGTTTTATATGAACTTGTGAACACTTCCCTGACACTAATAAGCTCTTTAAGCTCTCTTGGCCCTAATAAGCTCTTTAAGCTCTCCTGGCCCTAACAAGCTTTTTAACGTAGCTGTCCGATAACAGTAGCTGTCCGATAACGGTAGCTGTCCGATAACAGTAGCTATCCGATAACAGTAGCTGTCCAATAACAGTAGCTGTCCAATAACAGTAGCTGTCCAATAACAGTAGCTGCCGATAACAGTAGCTGCCGATAACAGTAGCTGTCCGATAACAGTAGCTGTCCCAGTTACCGTAACCCGACTCAACTTGATCTATTGATCTAATTTTTCTAACAACCATACCAGTTTACTGCAAAATCGATAAAATTCAGTTATAGGGTACGGTAGCCAGGTCAGGCTTTAAAGCTAATTGTACTTTTTCAGCTAATTTCCATCACTCTACCTCGTATTCACGTTAGCACCCTTTTTCAAGAGAATACTCGTCATATATGGATCCTCGTTGATGATTGCTTGATGTAATGGGGACATTCCTGAAAATTTTGCATCGTGCATCATTTATAGTGTCCATGTCGAACGTCTTTTTTTTTCAAACCCCATATTTCAAATCTTTCCTTTCTATTTTTGTTTACTGAGCTTGAGCTGGTAAAGAATAAAACACTGACGATGAAGATACAGCTAGCAATGCTTGATCAACTACAAAGAGTTGTAGTTGATCAAGCAGTTGATCCAGCAGCTGATCAAGCAGTTGATCCAGCATCTGATCAAGCAGTTGATCAAGCTTTTTCTATATCCAAGGGAAAACGTCGCGAGCTTTTGATGCTTTAACCAAATTGGTTAAAATCATTAACCAATAACCAATCCTTTAACCAATCATCAAGTACGAGAAGAAGGCATCAAACAATGCTGCCTTAAAACGATTTGGAGTCACAGGATCATTATTGGTTGGATGTAAGGAAAATTCGATGAGAGACAAATACAAGTCTTTGTAGTTGATCAAGCAGTTGATCAAGCAGTTGATCAAGCAGCTGATCAAGCAGTTGGTCAAGCAGTTGATCCAGCAGCTGGCTAAGCAGTTGATCCAGCAGTTGACCAAGCAGTTGATCCAGCAGTTGACCAAGCAGTTGATCCAGCAGCTGATCAATCAGTTGATCCAGCAGTTGACCAAGCAGCTGACCAAGCAGTTGACCAAGCAGTTGATCCAGCAGCTGATCAATCAGTTGATCCAGCAGTTGACCAAGCAGTTGATCCAGCAGCTTACTTCAATCATTCAAAAGGCGTGGCTGAAACCGTGCAGGTAGTTGGTAAAAAAAGTGAATGTTAGCGTAATGCTTACGGCAAGCTTTGATAGAAAAAGATGTTGCCAAGGGAAGGAGTAGATTCAAAAGATGAAACAGAAGTTCAAACAGCAGCTGTTACTTCGTTTGAAAGGCATATCGGTATGCCGCACCGTACTGACAACTGCAAATTGCAACCTACCATAATAATCTTCAGATATACAATAATCGTTGACGAGTTTCGGGAACTCGTTCGCCAACTGAACGACAAGTCCGTGATGAATGGGTGTGGCTGTGAGAAGGGCGACTCCCATCAGTGTTTCGCCCATACTACCTGCAAAGAAATTGATTAAATAGATCAATAAATAGATCGATAAATGAATTAGCATATATTCTATCAATAATATTAATATTTTTGTTACTTTTCTTTCATCAAAACATCTCACCTCGTTCCTCTAACCGCCAAACGACATCCCGATACTTTGAATCGTTTTTCCTTTCTTTCCGCCACCCTCCAACATTTTTAAGGCTAAAATTAATAAGATAAATTGAAATATTAGCTTTTCCTGTTTTTATATCAAATTCTACCTTACCCAATTAATATAAATAACTTCAAAAACCTACGAGTTAGTTTTTCTTGATCACTCAACTTTGAAAAGTCATATAAAGTCTCTAGAAGCATCAATTGGTTAGAAAATTGGCTTGTTTATGGGAAAAATACTCAAAAATGATCTCCAAAAATTTCAAACCGATTCATTGAGTTATCGCTGAGCTAGACCCTCAGAAGTGAGTCGGGATAATTCGCGATCACCTTGTGCCTGACATGGCACGACTGGTACGACTTTTTAGTCTACCATAGTCTACCATTTAGTCTTAGGACTCAATTCAAACATATCTAATATCTAAATCACCAAATATCAACAATATTACTTCAAAAAAAGCAATCTAATAGCTTATTCAGCGATTGCTTTGATCCAGTAATCACAAAATAATCTATTTCAACATCATCATCCATTTCAACTCGATTTCTACTCCCCCTTTCCACAATCTACTGAAGAAAATCAATAAATCAGTTCACCAGATTCATGCGTTTACGAATTTACAACAAAATCACCTTTCTGTACATCGCCTGTATTCGCTCCCTCTTGATTGAAAGCATCAAGCAGATTCGGTGCCGCTTTCCCTTTTTGTCTCTTTGCCATATTTTGTTGCCACCAATCATTCCTTTCCTGATATCAAGTCTTGCATAAAACCCCCTTCATTTTACTCACTTTATTTCTCACTTTCACCAGCTCGTTAATAGACATGATTTTCCCTTTTCCTTGATTGTACATACTCTCGCAAACCTGAACTTGAACAATTAACAACAAGAGAAACATTTGACTTCAAGAAACAAGAAACGGCTTCAGAGAAATCCCGGAAAACGGTGGACGAAGAAAAAAGAGAGACGATGTTGACGGGAATTGTGAGGAGAATGAGTGGATTGGGATTTGGAGAGAAAAATCGGAAACAACCGGGAAGTCGAGGAAGAAAAGATGAGGAAAGATTGGTGGAGAGTGAACAGGAAGCCGTGCAATACTTTAATTTGTTTCCTATTTAGCCCTATTGTTAGTTTATTAAGAGGCATTGGAAGAAAATTTGGTACTCTCTCATTTATACTCCCACAGCATCAATCCCATTACTCCCCCACAACATCAATCCCAGTACTCCCCCACAGCATCAATCCCTTATTCCCCCACAGCATCAATCCCATTCTTCCCCCACAGCATCAATCCCAGTACTCCCGCACAGCATCAATCCCGTTATTCTCCATTAACCTGCCAAAAATTTGCATTTATCCGAACGCTGTTTTTCTCAAAGAAGAAACAAATATTTCTTCTATTCTCATTTATCGGATTGTTGCTGTGGTACAACAATCTGTTGCTGTATAATGAGAAAGTACCGAAAATTGAACGAATAAACGCACCATTGACTCGAAATACCCTTCAACCATCGAGTAGTCACCGGATCGATTTCCATATCTTAAATAAAAAGTATAATAAATAAATATAAACATATAAATCGATAAATATATAGAAAAAGCTGTATAAATATAAATCTATAATCTAGATTGGTTAAAAAAGTCTACCTCAAGCTACAATACAAATTTTTCGACTCTTTTCCTTTTTTCCGTATTTTGATCGAACTTTAAACAACACAACTTTTTTAAAAGTCAATATTTTTCATTTCTTTACATAGAAAAGAGTTTTGGCTTTCGAATGGCAAAAAAATAAAGCTTAATTCGTCTACTCAACGCTGAGAAATGAGAAATCAAATCATGTTGCTCGGGCTCGGGCTCGGGCTACAGCTCGGGCTCGGGCTACAGCTCGGGCTCGGGCTACAGCTCGGGCTCGGGCTACAGCTCGGGCTCGGGCTACAGCTCGGGCTCGGGCTACAGCTCGGGCTCGGGCTACAGCTCGGGCTCGGGCTACAGCTCGGGCTACAGCTCGGGCCCGGGCTACAGCTCAGGCTTAGGCTTAGGCTTAGGCTTAGGCTTAGGCTTAGGCTTAGGCTTAGGCTTAGGTTTAGGCTTAGAGTTAGGCTTAGGCTTAGGCTAGTTCAAATTGGCTAGGCTTGGCCTTGTTCAAGCTAAATGCTCATTCACAAGTTTGACAAAGCTTTGTCGAGCCAGCCAGAAGGCAGCAAGGCATAAAGCCCTTCCGGACCTAACGAACGCGTCAGTATAGGTATTTGGGTTTGAGCTGAACCCCCGTTTTCTGGACCTCAGCCAGTTCCCGAAGCTTAGACTTGGACTTAGACTTAGACGTAGGCTTAGGCTTAGACTTAACCTTAGTTTCCCCCACCTCATCCACGAGATAAGCTCTCCTCCTCCATGCATGTCCACCAATTTATACATTAGACGATCCTCTCGTCGACGTCCAAACCCTCCAGCGCCCTCATTTTGAGCTGTAAAGTTAGGAAAACGTAAAATGTATTTAGATTTTCATGAAACCAACCATCAAGTGGCTCAGATCGAACCATTTGTCTTCAGCACAATATTTCCAATTCAATATTTTGAAACTTTGTTGAATAAATTCTGAAAAATCAAAAGAATAAAAGAAATATGGGAGTTGTTAAGAATAAAAAGCGGTTTTTTTTTTGTCGACAAAATCATCAATTCATCAAGGGCGATTGTAGAATCATTTTTTTTGACTTAAATCTGTAAATGCACCCTTCTGGTGCACTCAAATCTTGATTTTTCTCGAGATATCAAAAGAAAAGTGAAGAATTGAGTACGCGAGAATTGAGAAATAAAGGAATTAAAGAAATTGAAGAAATTGAAGAATTGAGGATTGAAGAAATTGAAGAAATTGACTGCGCCAGGTGCGTTTACAAGTGAGCACAAGCTTGGAGAGATAAGCTTTAAGCTAAGCTCTGAAAATATTCTGTAAATGACTTTAAAAAACGCGTTCTTGTAATGAAAAGCTTGTATTTACTGAAGCTTTATTATTTAAAAGCTTTACTATTCGAAAAGCTTTATGATTTCATGATCCAACTTCAGTAACCATAGCGAAAACGTAATGGGAAATCGATCCCGAAAAGTTTTTCCATTCTTTTCATTTTCTGTTAAGAATTGTTTCTTTGCTCTTTTCCGAAATGGCTACAAATCTGGATAGAAAAAGAAATAGAATTAGAGATTTGACTTAGAAGAGATTTGACTTAGAAGAGATTTGTTTTAGAAGAGATTTGATTGACAAGGGAAAGGCGACGAGTCAAGCTGACCTTTTGCCTCGAGAATTAGAGAGGCCTTTTGCCAAGTTCCAATATGGTTCCAATACAGCTCAACAGCCTCAAAAGAAGCTCAACAGCCTCATAAGAAGCTCAACAGCCTCAAAAGAAGCTCAAAATTCAAGGTGATTTTCTAGGCTAAATACAGTAGCGGACATAATTTTAGCATATTTTTTGTTTTCACCAAAACTTTGTTGCAATTTAAGCTATCAAGCCAAAATTTGCCCTGAACGTAGAAAATCTCCTAAAATTAGTATTTTACCATCTAAAAAATTCTCACATTCTGTCTATAAGACTTTTCAAGAATTTTAGTGTAAAGCTGGGCGACGCCCAAACGTCGTGGAAAAGCGTGGACCCTGACGAGGAGGTATGCAGGATCTTCCAGCTCTTCCCAAGCCTTTTCGAGCGTTTTTTTCAAACTATCAATAGTTTTATGTGGTTTTGAACATGCTTTGGCTTCTTCTTCTTCTTCTTCTTCTTCTTCTTCTTCTTCTTCTTAAACAACTCTTCAGACAGAAAAATATAGAACAGTATTGGGAAAGACTTTTAGAAACCAAAGCTCTTTCACATGCAATTATTGATCAATTCTAAGCTCTTATTCAAATATTTCACATGTTGTTTTTGTAGACGATAATCGAATTATTCTCTATTCGTTTTTCTTTTAAGCAAAAATTTCATAACTAGGGTTTTTGATGCTGTTTTTGTCTTGTTCTAGGGTTTTGTCTCGTTCACGAAAATTTCCATAAGCTTGCTTTTTTTTGGAGTGATTCTCACTATAAAAAGAGCAATTGTTTTCAAATTTCCAAAACAGTTTTTTGGTTTTCATTCCAAACAATGAAAGCTATCGTATTTCTGATGGTTGTGCTCATTCAAGCGCTTTTCTTAGCCACCACAATGGCACAAGTGAGTCAAAGTTACTTAAGTAAAAAAACAATTCACTTTTCTAACTAGCTAGCTAGCTTTCTAACTAGCTTTCTAGCTTTCTAGCTAGCTTTTGCCCTGGCTTAAACCTGAAACTTGCTTTGATTGTTGCCGTTAAAAAAACTTTAATATAACGGCCTATCGGAGTGTGAGATTTCGGCGTCTAATTGAAAATGAGGTAACGAAAATGATGCCTTCTTTACAACAACTTCTTTCGGGCAGACGAAATATGTCCTTGTGCAGCGTGTAGAGGATTAGAAGTCTATAGAAGTCTATAGAACTCTATAGAACTCTATAGAAGTCTATAGAAGCTATTACAGAGCTTGCTTTCGATATTCTTTTTAAATCCTCACAGAATCAAGAAAAAGTGGATAGATTGGTTTAAAATTAGGACAAGATTCCACTAGTTTGGAAAGGAGACACATTTTAGAAAACGATCTAAGTAGCATACTAGCCAAACTAATGAAATCTATTGTTTTTGTGAGCCAAACTAATGAAATCTCGCAGGAATTTGCTTTAACAACTTGTAGGTATTGCAATAAAGGTAAAGGTAAAGGAAATCTATTGTTGTTTTTTCTAGATTGTTCCACCCAGCCTCTCGAATCTCGTTTGGGGTTCGCATCAGCATGGATCCTCATGCAATCATCCAAAAGATTATCATTCAACAACCACCTCTCCTTGAATCGTTTATCTTCTTTTTCTTTTCTTTTATATTCTTTTATTTCTTTTATATTCTTTTATATTCTTTTATATTCTTTTATATTCTTTTATATTCTTTTATATTCTTTTATATTCTTTTACCATTTTCTTCTTCTTTATCTTTTCTCTTTTGAAAACTTTAGATATTTGTAAAATGTAAAAGAATTAATGAATTGTAATAGACGTCAACCCTAATGAATTGTAACAAACATAATGAATTGTAATAGAATTAATGAACTGTAACAAACTTAATGAATTGTGACAGACTTAATGAATTGTAATAGACGTCAGCCTTAATGAATTGTAACAGACTAAATGGATTGTAACAAACTTAATGAATTGTAACAGACTAAATGGATTGTAATAGACTTAATGAACTGTAACAGACTTAATGAATTGTAATAGACCTCAACCTTACTGAATTGTAATAGACGTCAGACTTAATGAATTGTGACAGACTTAATGAATTGTAACAAACATAATGAATTGTAATAGACGTCAGACTTAATGAATTGTAATAGACAAAAATACTCACATGATTTGATTGATCATAGATCTCAGAGAAAAGAAAAATCGAAAAGTGTTCTCGCTAAACGGAAAAAATGATCCATTTGATTGATAAGAAGAAAAATTAAGATTTGAACACTTAAAGAACTATTTCTCAATATCAGTTCAATTTCAAAATGTGGATCAAATCGATTTTGATAACTATTATTTTGTTGGTAATAATTGAAGTGATTGATGGTTCGTTTTTACGCTCAAAATCATGCTCAAAATCATGCTCAAAATCATCTAACGCATCTAACGTAAACGCATCTTTTCTGGTGCATTTAATTCTTTAATTATTATGGGATTTTTTTAAAAGCTTATTTAGCATGGGGTCTTGGTGGCTTGCGAGCAATCGGAATTGTTTTGAGGTAATTTTTGAAGACTCGAATTTGTCCTTTTCTTCTTTCCAATCTATTCACTTTCTCTATCGTTTAATATCCTTTTAAAAGCCACACAAAAGAGACAAAAACTGGATAGATTAAATAAAAAATAGACAAGTTTATGGTAATTTAAGAGAAATTAAAGAAAAAAAACACTTTTTACAAAAATGCGAGTCTTTTTTTGGCTGAAAATGTTGTTGGTATTAGTAGATTTGTTTCTATTGGGTTGGGGAGAATGAGTCGGTGCCAAACTTTAAAGGGACTTTTTGCACACATAAAGCCTTCTTTAAATATACGTTTGGTTTCATCAAAAGGATCCACTATTTCTCTACAAAATCACTTTTGAGAGATTCCACAAAGCTTTTCTTTCGTGGAGTTTATGAACTTCCAAACGCAGCTGGTTAAAATGGCAAAGAGTCCGACTCATCATTTGAACAGTTTCTTTCGCATAAACCTTCTTTGGTGTTTATATAAAAAAGATAGAGCACATTCAATTACTTAAGTTGCCAAATTTGCAGGAAGATCCCACCAATGGTTTTTTCTAGATCATAGTTTGTAGTTTTTGTGAAAAAATGGCTTTTTCTTGAGCGGAGGCGCTGTTTGAATTTTCTTTTAAATGTGATTTTGTAGAGAATTAGTTAACCATTCTACTCATATCAAACGCATATTATTTGACGAAGTCGAATAGAAGTTTTAGACATTTTTTGATTTTCGGCGCCGACTCATTCTCCCCAACCCAATATAAACTTGTAAAAATCATTCAAAATAATAATTAAGAGTTGGGATCTTTGTTTTCACAATAATTTTTCTTTTTTGTGAAAAAGCCGGTTTTTCGACAATTTTGCGGGTTTTGAACTTACGCTCTATCTAAATTTCTGTAAATGCATTTCCGTTAGACTTTTTTTAATGAATTCATATATATTAGGGTGAACCAAAAGTTTTCTATTTTTTTTTATTAAAACTTTCAACATAAATAAAACAACAATGAACGAACTCTAAGCTTCGAAATAAAGACCATTCGAATCTATGACTTGAAGCCATCTATCGGCAGGTTGGTCGATCCCGCGGCAGTACCACTCCTTGTTCTTAGAGGCGAAAAACTCGCCGCACCCTTTTTCGACTTCGCCCAGATTGTTGAAGGCTCGTCCGCGATGGAAGTGTGCCATGGAGCGGAAAAGTTGATAATCGGATGGTGCAAGATCCGGACTGTACGCTTGATGTGAAAGAAGTTCAATTGGGTCGAGATTTTTGATCTTTTCCTTGGTTTGTCTGGCGGTGTGAGGTTTTGCATTGTCCTGCTGAAGGACTATGCGCTTTCGATTGACCAAAGCGGGATATTTTTCACTAAGCGCCGCATACATACGGTCAAGTTGGGCGCAGTAGAGGTCTGCGTCGATGGTCCGTCCATTTCGAGCCAGCTCAAAGTGAATCATGCCTTTGAAATTTCACCAAACACACAATAATGCCTTCCTTGAGAATCAATCACGTTTTGCTACCGGTTCCGCTACTTGCCCGGGATTCAACCACTGAATTTGCTTGTCTCGATTCCTAAAATAGACCCACTTTTCATCACAAGTCACAATTCGGCGAATAAAGCGGTCATCGTGCGGATTTTCCAGCAGTTTTCGGCAAGTGTCTACACGATTTTGAGCTTGATTTTCCGTTAAATCATGTGGCGCTTCTCGGCAGCTTTTGTTGATCTTTCCAAGGGCATGAAGGTGCCGGATAACTGATGTTTGAGGAATATCCAGTTCAGCGGAGAGCCTGCGAGTGCTGGTTAATGGATTAGCTTCAACAGCGTTGCGTAGAGCTTCAGAATCCACAGTACTTGGCCGACCCAAACGTAGCTGATCTTCGAGACCAAGTTCGCCGTTCTTAAATTTTCGATACCAGTATTGTTGGAGGTCATTCCTTCACCTTCCACTTGGCATATTTTTTGACCGCTTCAGTTGCATTGAACCCTTGTTTCCAATAATGGCGCAAAAGTACCCGAATTTCGAATTTTTCCATCTCTTTCCTACAAAGTAAAAAGTTAAAAATAAATAGTTAAACACACGATAACTTAGTAAAATATGAAAGAGCAGATCAAATACTACAAAATAAATGTGGCACGTATATATAAAACGAATTTATTAGCTTTAAAAAATAGTTCAAACTTAAAGAGAAAAAAAATAGGAAACTTTTGGTTCACCCTAATAGTTATTCTTTTTTTAAAATCTTCAATTTTGGGAAGCTAACTCTATTTTGATCACACTAAACTTGTCCCTGAAGTGACTCGATTCCTTTTTTGGTCACTCGCATTTCACCCTCGAAATTTCTTCAATGGTTCGATCAATTGAAACACGTTGTCTCTACAGATTTGGTTCCTTTTCGGTAGAGATTTGGTTCCTCTTAGGTACAGATTTGGTTCCTTTTCGGTACAGATTTGGTTCCTTTTCTCTACAGATTTGGTTCCTTTTCTTCTCTACAGATAGCCTATTTTGTAGAGGAGATTTACAGCTTTCAAATAGTTTATCGATACCAGATTTATCGATATCAGGGTTCTATTGTTGGAATGTCGAAATGTTGAATGTTATAAAAATGTTGAAATCCGCATTTCTTATGCATGTACCTAATATTCCCAGTTGACTTTGGATGGTTAATTTATGAGTGTATGAGTACTCAAATTAATTTAAAGATTAGTGCAATGAAAGTCGACGATCAAAGGGTTGAATGAGGAAAAATTTGAATGATTTAGGGCGGGTCGATTGGGTATGAGGGGACGCGGCGGTGGAATGTGGGGAAATCCGTATGGACGAATGGGCGGAATGGGATATAATCCTTGGGGAAACGGTAGTTTTCTAGTAGCTAGTTTTCATTTACAATTCTAAAACTAGCTACTAGATAAATGTAATACTGTACCTAGATCCCACTTAGTAAAATAGATATTTTCCCGCAAAGCAAAAGATTTTCAAACTCATTCGTTAAATATCTTTTGAGGACGAAGTAAAATAAAATAAGAAATAAAATAAGAAATAAAATAAGAAATAAAATTGGTTTTAAATTCGGATTTAAAAGAAACAAAATGTTTATTTCCAGGCGGTGGAATGAGCTCATATTATGGCCAAGGATGGGGACGATAAAGAGGAAAAAAATTTTCATCTCAACAAAATCATTTCATTTTTTTAAATTCCTTCAACAAAACTGTTTTAAATGTTAATTTTTAAAAGTTTATCAAAAAAAAACAGCTAAAAAAACATCAAAAAAACATATCAAAATCTGTATTCCGTTTTATTTTGAACAGAAAACACAAAAATTTATAACAACAAAAGGACAATAATCGGTGTTGTCTTTGCCATCAAAAAAACATTACGTAGATTTAAAAACTATATTCTCTACTGTAAAGGGCTACTGTAAAGTCCCGTTGGATAGAATTAGATAAAAAGATTACAAGATTACGTCAGAACACGGTAGCACATGTCATGTCAATGGCCGCATTGCTGCTCAAAATCGATAAGCTCAAACCGGCACTCTTGAAGAGATTGCTAAAATCTTTTGTAACGATAATGAATCCTGATTCACTTGTCGGGTGCTCGAAAAGTATCGCAACGCGGGTCGAAATATGAGCTCTTTTCCACCAATTGAATTCGATACACGTCCAATTAATCAATGAAACAATCCAAAGTATCAAATTCCAACAGGCAAACACCGCGGTGGATGAGTTCTCGTTTGGGGTTGGTTACCCTCTATTATCAACTGAGCTGATTTGAATTTAGATTGTTTTTTACGATATGGTGTCGGTCCACTTGTCAGAATCAATGGTATTATGGATGCAGCTGCTTATGAAAACATCTTGAAGACCCATATACTTCCACATAGCAGAAACAACTTGACCAACGACTTCACTTTCATGCACGATAACGATCCGAAGCATACGGCCCAACGTGTTAAGCAATAGTTCCAACAAAAAAAACGTCGATGTGCTTCAATGGCCAGCTCAAGGCTCAAAGTCGGCTCAAGGCTCAAAGCCCTGAGCTGACTCCAATAGAGCATCTTTGGGAGCATTTGGATCGACAAATCCGTACCAGAAACTTCACAAAAACATCAAAACTCATGAAGGCGCTTGAGTCGCGACTCGGCTTCAATTAAGATGCCGTTGATTTACATTCGTGAAATTTACATTCTAAATGCTAGTGTTAAGATCAATCAGGATGTGTATTTGAATGTTCTCAAAAACGATTTACTTTCATGAGCAAAGTCTCACGCACGCCATTGGGCGTTTGATATTGGACGTCAGCGGTGCAAATCCGCGCGAAAATACGATCACCCTTAAATTTCTTCAGGGTCAATGCTATGCAAAAAAATTCCCTGAATCCGAATCTAAAAGAATTTTTAGAATTCATTTGACAGGTTTTTTTAAATCGAAAAGATCGCTATGGAATCTTGGTTCGTGAAGTTTACATGAGTCGGCGCCAATATTCAACGATCGCCAATCTCAAAGTTGCTATGCGCCTCGCTTGAAACAATTTGGACCCCATTGTCTTACAAAAACTCGTTTCCTCGATGCCAATGATTACGCTTGAGGGGAAGCGAAAAGGATCCTTATAAACTCGAGGCTCGGCCAGTAGTTAACAATAATATTAGTATTCACCCAAATTTGCAACGCATCTTTCTCGAAAACCAAGGGGTTTAGGCAAAAATAAAATACAGAATCGGGTTCCCCATGTCCCAAATTCCTTTTCTACCACTACGTCGATCCAATTCTTTACCTTAAATTTGGATAATTCCCTTGTTAGGCTTAGACTAAACTAGCTACTAGACTAGACTAGCTTAGACTAAACGCGTCCTTTCTAGCGCACTGAATTCTTCAGTTTTCTCAAATTCTCAGTTTTCTCAAAGAAAATCGTGAAAAATCAAGAATTCAGTGCACAAGAAAGAATGCGTTTACAAAATTGAGCAAAAAGAATACTTAACAACAACCAAATCTTACATTTCTAATCATTTTTTTTAGAATGAATCAAACTAAGTGCAAGTTTTTCAGCTCAATTATTGTTTTTCTAAATTTATTTACTTTTCTTGTTGTGTTCAGAGTTAAGATTTCGTTTGTTCAGCTTTTTTGTGAAATTTTATTATTTGCAAACAAAAACATTCAAGAATGAGTATAAAAAGCTCTCAAATTCAGTAAACGAAAATCAAATTTCCTTAAATATTTCATGATGACCAGTTGTCGAAAGCTTTTGATCACTTTATTTGTAAGTTTTTAGCATTGCTTTTAGCTTTTGCAGCTTTAGATCTAAAGCTTTTTGAGTGGCTACGGTAAGAGCTTGGCTCTTGTGTAGTTTCGGGGTGTTTTGAACGGATCGTCACATTTTGAAGGCCTATAACTTTGTCTAGAGATAATATTATTCATAACTTTTTTATATCATTGAATAGAGGACGATTTAGGCTTTCAAATCATACTAAATAGAGCTTGACTGGACTTATCATTCCCAGGAAAACAAGGCGACAAGACACTAGAGTTGGATCGACCTCGTTTGTCAAGAGTTGGCTTGAATTCCCCGACTGGATTATCCAAACAAGCTGTATTTAGTATCATTTGAAAGTCTGAAATATCCTCTTTCGAATGAGATAAAAAGTTAGCAAAAATATAATCTCTAGACAAAGTTATAGGCCTTCAAAGCGTCATGACCAGTTCACGATACCCGGATCCTTTCAAAATACTCAGAATCTAGGCTAGAAACTGAAAGAGCTAAAAATCTGAGTAAAGCATAAAGCTCTATCCTTCGGCAATGGCACCCGTGTCGGTGTAGCTCGTTGGCAAAGCGTTGGCCTTGTAAGCGAGAGATCGCGGGTTCGAATCCCGGCGCCGTATTCTCAGCCATCAAAAGGATCGGCGTATTTCGTTTTCACATAAAGGGTGTGATCTGGTTAGGCAAAATAAATCAGTAGTGATCTAGCCTGGCAACTGGGTAACCTGTTCCAACTGGACTAGGGCCAAGCCAGATTTGGCTACTGTCTCGCCAAGACAATGACCTTTAGCCTGTCTGAAATCACCTCAACTAGAGTCAGAAAAGGCCAGGAATCGAATTGATGGAAAATAGAGCAAAACCTGAGTCGATTCGTTCTGAACTGAGCTTTGACCCAGTATTGATCAAGATTAAACCAGGCATACCAAGTTAGATCAAATCTAAGTCAAACTGCCAAGTTAGATCCACAAAACTACCTGCCAACCAGTTTGGCCAAGAGCTGACAGTTTTATCTATCAGATCTGCGATCAGCTTCAAGACAAACTCAGCTCAGATAAGCTAAGATAACTGAGCTCTCCTAGATTGGCAAAATCTCAAAATCTTGCAAAAATTAATAACCTTAATCAGTAACCTTAATCAAAGACTAAATGCTTTCTTTAGTGTCTCTTCAGTGTCACCGATTGCCAGCAAATCTCTCCAATCTCTCCCCAACAATCTGATTATCAACTAGATGAAGCAATGCTGCTCTCAATTCTCGTAACAATCGAAATTCTTCTAAATTTTTGAAACTTTCAGTCTCATTTTCAAATGATCGGTGCCACAAGCTCGTGGGTTTTCAACTCAACAGTTTACATGATGATGACAAATCAATGCATTGATGGAAATGTAAAAATTAATATAGAATCTTTTATCTACACTACTGGACAATGGAATATCATATTTGCAAAAAAAGATCGTCACTTTCGCGCGTCTGTAACTCCCTTGTCTTCACCGTATTTCTAAATATTAATTTTACCATTGTGTAGCCCTTGAAAAGAGCTTTCAGAAAATGAATAACACTAATAGTTTAAACTCAAAGACAATGGAGTTACAGACGCGGGAAAGTGACGATCGTTTTTCAAATATGTTTTCAAATATGTTTTCAAATATATTTCATTGTCCAGTACTGTAACAATTTTATAGTACTTATTCTCTATTTTTTTTACTAACTTTTTATATTAGAAAGTTAATTTCAAGCTACCGTTAATCCCTGGGGACGGTAATTCGATTCTTTCTATTCAAAAAGTGAACTCTTAAGTGCGCCAGAGGGCTTGCGTTTATTCGAGCATAAAGTAGAAAATGAAGAGCAGCAAAGGTTCAGATGTGCATCGGGGTTTGTGCGGGCGCCGGTCTACAAATGCCTTCAATCCATTCACCGCTTGAGAACCAACAACTACAACGTAAGCTCATTGATGAGTAGTTAAAGTAAACTTAAGGAATTAAACTAAACTTAAGGAATTAAAGTAAACTTAAGCAATTAAAGTAAACTTAAGCAATTAAACTTAAGCAATTAAAGTAAACTTAAGGAATTAAAGAAAACATAAGGAATTAAAGTAAACTGAAGCAATTAACTAAACTTAAGCAAACTAAGCTTAAGGAATTAAACTTAACTTAAGCAATTAAACTAAACTTAAACAATTAACCCAAACTTAACCAATTAAACTAAGCTTAAGGAATTAAGTAATTAAGCAGTAAACTTAAGCAATTAAGCTGCACTGTGTAAAGTGCAGCTTAATTGCTTGTGCACTGTGTGTCTTGTAAACTTGTCTTCATCGGAGATAGTGCAAAAAATGAAAGCATTTTCTAAAACCTTTCATTTTTCACAACTTTTATTTCGTAAAGGCTTCTCTAAATCCCAGATCTCAGATCTCAGATCCCTGAATCCCAAAGTGAAAACAGATCATATTAAGTAAGTTTTGATGGCATTACTCAAAAATTTTTGAACTTAAACTGCGTAGATTATGCTTATTAACATAATAAATTCAATTTCAACAAGCTTTTGACAAGATTACTGTCAAAAATCTCATAAATAAGTAGCATGCCGAGCGCTACTCGACCACGAGATAGTGATACTCGACTCTCAACTTTAGCAAGCTATATAAAAAAGTTGAATGGTTGAATCGTTTAGTTAATTGGCAGGGTTAAAGGATAGACATTTAAGATTTATTTGCAGTAAAACCCAGAATGATTGGTTTAATTTTGACCAATCTAGGCTCGTAATTGTGGAGCATCATGTAGCTTTTTAGAGGTGATGTTGCCAAGGTCGAGTTGCTCTCAATTAGCGCATCTTGGCGTCACGTGGCTTCCCCCAAATCGACAAGAGTTCTGGAGGTTGCAGAAGAAAAGCTTTTCCTTAAAAATGAAACTTTCAGAGATGGTACAAATTACGATTACTCGAATTGGTCCCGCTTGCAACCGGGTTTCCATGATGGATGGGGAAACACAGAGAATTGCGCTAATGTGGGTTTGATGGCTTTGATGGTCTATAACTTTACATAGAGATAATATTATTCATAACTTTTTATATCATTGAATAGAGGACGATTCAGGCTTTCAAATGATACCAAATAAAGCTTGATTGGATAAACCGATCCAGAGAAATTCAAGCCAACTCTAGACAAACTAGACTGATCCAACTCGGATGCCGTATGCTTAGTTTTCATGCGAATAGATAATCCAATCAAACTCTATTTAGTATCATTTAAAAGCCTGAATTGTCCTCTATCCAATGATATAAAAAGTTAACAATAATGTTATCTCTGTGTAAAGTTATAGACCATCAAAGCCATCAAAGAAATTTTGATCATCAAAGAAGTTTTGAAGAAGTCGCCAAGCTTTGATGGGATATAACTTTGTCTAGAGATAATATTATTCATAACTTTTTATATCATTGGATAGAGGACAATTCAGGCTTTCAAATGATACTAAATAGAGCTTGATTGGATTATCCAGAATTGCGCTAATGTGGATTTAAGGGAAAACATTTCTAAACTACAACAAACATACAACAAACATACAACATTGATTGTCAACTAAACAATAAGCGAATTTTGTAGATGTTACAAGACGGCACGTGGAATGATATAAACTGTTCGGTGCCCGGCTTGGCCACCGCTGTTGCGCCGTGTGTGTGCACATTTCGAAATAATTTCCTATGAAATAAAAATCTGAAAGCTTTTATAATGCACTGATTAGAGTAAACAATGGAAATATTTCAATTAAAAGATTTCACAATACTTATTGTAAAGTTAATAGAGCGAATTCGAGCGGTTAAACATCAAAATAAAAGAAAAACAAGGGGAAGGGATCGAACCCGAGTAAAGACTTGAAAGCTTGTTTTGGAAACAAGACGCCTATCCACTACACCACGAGACCACGTCGCGGGACGGTGAAAGAAGTGACTGAAGTCATTGAGGTGCTGTTTTTAACCTGGGAAATGTCGCCGCCTAATCGCAGTTGAACTTATCACCTCTTTCAACCGAGGCAGTCAAGTATCCGCCATGGCCTAGTGGCTAAGACCCTTGTCTCTTGTTCAGTGGGTCGAAGGTTCAGTCCCATTCCTAGGTTTTGATTTTTTTTCCTCGTATATGAGCTTTTCTCTACATTTAGGGCTACTTGTGTATTGTATTTATTTGTAGTACATTATTCGTGTGAATAAATGTCCAGTGGCCAGTGCCAGTAACCAGTGTCTTTACCAGTTTTCTATCAAAATATCGCGTACTTTCAGATGCTCAAAGATGGCACATGGAACGACGTGTCGTGCTCGGTTCCCGGTTTGGCTCCAACACTTGCCCCATGTGTTTGCATCTTCAGAAATCCTCTCCAAATACAAGGGAAATAAAGTTGATATGAAAAAGCACTAAAGGAAAACTACGGTAATCCACTATTCGCTAAATTATGTCCAAATTACCGTAACCATAACACAGCGTTTTCACGTCTTAAATCACGACTCGATTATCGTAATTTGTAATCCATCGAAATCCATTTGTCTTTACCAGTATCCTTACCAGTTTTCTATTCATTTCTCTTCTTTAAAACTACCGTAATCCTTTAGTTTTCTCTGGGATACGGTAGCTTGAGCGTCACTTAACTAAAAGCTAGTTTTTAAGTTTGCCAGACGACTTTTTTCTGAAAATTTATAGATTCTCAATAAATATATAATAATTGAATATGATTTTTATTAAAAAAATTAGGATTTAATGCTTTATGATTACAGCATGATATCCAATTCAATAAAAAGAACGAGGGTGGCCACTATGCGCCAAATTTCTTTGCGCAACTCGCCATAACTTTCTTCCAAGTGGACCAATCTTGATGATTTTAGTGTCATTTTGTAGATCGAAACAATGCCAATAAAATAACACCAAAATCATCAAGATTGACCCAGTTAGAAGAAAGTTATGGCGAGTTGCGCAAAAGATCTAGTTGCGGAAATTAGCCTACCCCTCAAGTTTAACAGTTTTCGAGTGTCCCCTCTCTGAATTTTTATTTTTTTAGTCTTTTTTCTCAAAAAACTAGTAGATGGAGTTTAAAATACCTAGGCTACTTTGCGTCATTTTGTTACACTTATCGAGATCTAGGCTAATTTCCGCCATTTTATTTGCGCAACTGGGTCGTTTGCGCAACTCGTCATAACTTTCTTCTAACTGGGCCAATCTTGATGATTTCGGTGTCATTTTGTAGATTTCAATAAGTGTAACAAAATGACACCAAAATCATAGAGATTGGTCGACTTAGAAGAAAGTTATGACGAGTTGCGCCAAACGCAACTCGTCATAACTTTCTTCTAAGTCGACCAATCTCTATGATTTTGGTGTCATTTTGTTACACTTGTTGTGATCTACAAAATGACACCAAAATCATCAAGATTGGCCCAGTTAGAAGAAAGTTATGGCGAGTTGCGCAAAAGACCTAGTTGCGCAAATGAACCAGTTGCGCAAAAAATTTGGCGCAAAGTCGCCACGCCCAACAAAAACATCTATAATCCTTTAGTTTTCTCTGGGATACGGTAGCTTGAGTGTATTTTAACTAAAAGCTAGTTTTTAAGTGTGCCAGACGACTTTTTTCTGAAAATTTATAGATTCTCAATAAATATATAATAATTGAATATGATTTTTATTAAAAAAATTAGGATTTAATGCTTTATGATTACAGCATGATATCCAATTCACTAAAAAAACATCTAGAAAAAGTCTAATTAATAGAAATCTTCAAATTTATAAAACCCGTAAAAAAAAATTCAAAAAAATTCAAAAAAATGCAGAATTTAGGCAAGAAATTGATCAAAAATCAATAAATTACTAGAAATTGCACATCTAGGATACGTAAATAAATGAGTATTTTGTGGAATTGTTGACATTTTAAGCCATTTCCCGATCGCTTCCATTAGTGAAAGTGCCGTCATGAGCTGAAATTTGCTTTTCTCTTTTTTGATTGCAAAATTTACCGTATTCTATGCAAACATTGATGTACTTTGTGCTTATAAACGCACGCTTTTTGGCGCGCTGAACTCCTCTTTTTTGCGTGCGTATGTTAAGCGTTTCTGTGCGAAGAAAAGCGGAGAAAAGTGGAAAAATCAGCGCGCCAGAAAGGGTATGTTTACAAACGAGTACAGCACACAAAGTACGTTGTACTCGTTTATAAACAGTACTCGTTTATAAACAGTACTCGTTTATAAACAGTACTCGTTTATAAACAGTACGTACGTTACGTTGTACTGCGAAGTACAACGTACTTTATACCCGTTTGTAAACAGTACGTACGTTACGTTGTACTGCGAAGTACAACGTACTTTGTACTCGTTTGTAATCAATTATTCGCAATTTTTTCATAAATGCTAACGATTTAGCACGATTTACATTCAAATTTACGTTTAAAAGTCCTTTAAAAGTCCGAAAAATGTCAGAAAAAGGTCAGAAAAAGAACTACGAAAAAAGAAAGAACAAATTTCGCTTATTTCTCGCCAAAGAATACCGTTTTCTTCTCAATTTTGTCAAAAGAAAAAGAAAATTGTTTATTTGTTCATTTCCTCAGTGTTAGCTGTTTGAATGAGTGGAAACTCTTGCTTTCTTTTTGTTTCTTTGCTCATTTCTCCTCAATCATAATCGATTTTTGCTTAAATCCTATCGACATTTAGCTTTATTATCGATTTCGTGCAAGTAAATCGTTTGATTATCGTAAAAAAAATGGTATAAAAACGAGTAAATTGTGATTGGTTTAAAAGAAATATGTGGAAATGGAGGAAAGTCTTGTGTCCAAACACGCATAAACATAAAGAAAAGAAGTTTTTGATAAACCATATAGATCTAACCTATATCCAACTCTCTGACCAGAGTGCTCATATTGTCAGTGATGAGATCGGCGGCGTGAAGAAGATCACCCTGCAGACTTGACACTGGCACCGAGCTGCCACGGAAAGCACCCGTTATCTAAAACGTGTAGTAGTACAGTACTAGTAGTATGTAGTAGTATGTAGTAGTACAGTAGTAGTAAGTAGTAGTAAGTAGTAGTAAGTAGTAGTATAATGGTACTAAAAAGTCAGAGTCGACTACCGGGCTCGAACACGGATCACTCCCCTTGCAGACGAGCGCTCTCCCGACGCCATGCGACCATGAATTAGCTCGAAACATTTAGCCTTTATCTTTTTTACTTTATGAACTTTATGTTTAAAATAGCCGAAAAACCACAACGGCGGGTTTTTCTGGCTAGATCTTTCCGGTCGATTTATAGGCGTCGTAGCGCAGTCGGCACTGCGCTCGTCTACAAGCCACAAGATCAGGGTTCGACTCCCGACTGTCTCATATCTTTTGCATTTTTTGAAAAACGAAATATGAGATGCATAGCTATATGCAAGCTAAGCTAAACCTAAGCTATATAGAAGCTAAGCTATCTGGAAGCTAAGCTATATAGAATATAAGCTATATAGAAGCTAAGCTATCTGGAAGCTAAGCTATCTGGAAGCTAAGCTATCTGGAAGCTAAGCTATCTGGAAGCTAAGCTATCTGGAAGCTAAGCTATATAGCTAAGCCTAGCAAACTAAATTATGTATATCTTTGCCATTGATTTCTTTACCTTATTTCCGACTCCGCTCAGCGATTCGGGCAATTGATTGAGCGAAGCGGTTGAGAGACCAGTTGGACGGATGCCCGGTGCCTAAAATATAAGATCAAAGATATTTTCAACTACTTTTTTAAAGCTCACATTAAGTTGTGCCATCAATTGCTCCAATTGCATCATGAGATCTCTTCGCCTTTGTTGCATCACGAACATTTTCTCTTCCAGTTGTGATTTCCTTTCCCTCAGCCCTGTCAATTGGCCATCTTCAGTGACGAACTGTAATTTATCTGTGTCTTACCGTAAGCTCTTAGCTAAGCTCAAAGCTACCGTAAGCTCAAAGCTACCGTAAGCTCAAAGCTACCGTAAGCTCAAAGCCACCTCTACAGTAACCGTCTTATCCCTACAGTAACCTACCGTAATCCCAGAGTTTGATTTTAGCCATAGAACCATGAGTTTTGAGAAACCGTGGCTTGGATGCTTTTTAGCAGTTTCAAATGAGTTTACCAGACGTTTACCCAAGCAAAAAGTATATTCTAGTAGCTTACTGTATTGTAAGTATTACTGTAAAACAGGTGACTGATATCCAGTTCCCAATTCCAGCTAACTATTCCAAATTCCCCACCTGATTCTCCAATCTCGCCATTTCTCGCACCATCTCCGTATTCTCCTCCTCCAATTGAGCAATCAACGATCTCTCGTCCAATGGTCGATCGATCATCGATCGACCACCACTCAATGGATACTAAATATGTATTCATTGCAATACTAGAGCCGATTAGGTTCCTGGAGTTGTAAACTTTTTTCGGCTTGACATTTTGGCTTGACAAAGCGTGGTGAAAATTCTGGCTTGACATTTTAAAACGTGGTAAAAATATCGTAGCCCATACTTTGAAGATTGAAAAAAAAGTGCAATTTCATTCTTTTTCTTTATCTCATTACGGTAGTTTTACCACCCTTTAAAGCATCAACTCAGGATTTTTTCGGAAAAAGGGTCAAGCTAGGGAGATCAAGAACACTTGGGAAAGTGTTCTTGATCTCCCTAGCTTGACACCTTCTAGATCTCCACAGTCCCTAGCTTGTCAGAAGCTGTATAATATGATCATTCAAATTTACCTCAGTTCTTCCGCTCAATTTCGCCGAATATCTGGCGATCAATTTGTGCTCATCGTCTAAATGACCATTGACAGCGATTTGACCGGGTAACAAAACAGGAGACGAAGGCCACGAGGGAGCTCGCTCACTTTGATGTCTTCTGGAAATGAAAAGTCTGATTGCGAGGCTAATTGTCAGTCAAATTGCGAGGCTAATTGCCAATCAAATTGCGAGGCTAATTGTCAGTCAAATTGTCAGTCTGATTGCGAGGCTAATTGTCAGTCAAATTACCAATCAAATTGCCAATCAAATGCCAGTCAAATTATCAATCAAATGCCAATCAATTGCCATGTCAAATTGCCAGTTAAATTACCAATCAAATTACCAATCAAATTTCCAATCAAATTACCAATCAAATTACCAATCAAATTACCAATCAAATGCCAATCAATTGCCAATCAAATTACCAATCAATTTCCAATCAATTTCCAATCAAATTACCAACCAAAATTTTAGCTTAATTCTATCAAACTGTAAAATGCACAAAAAAACTTTGTAACTATGCTAATAGTTGCTAAGCTAATATAAACCTGAGAGTTGTTGGAGTTGCTGGGACAATGTTTGAGAGCTCCAACGGTCTCACCGGACGTTCCATCGGCATTTGTACGACCTGCAGAAAGCTGGATGAGTCAAGAATTAAAGTTTTGCATTTAAAGATACTTTCTTAAAAAACTGTACCTTATTGGGCACGATTTTCGTCTGAACCGATGGCACGCATTGCAGAGATTTCTGGATTGAATGCGCGAGTTGCTTTGTTGGAGATTTCTGAAGGAAAAAAAAGCGATCTTTCTTTCTAGATATTCTTTCTTTATAGTTTTCTTGATTTAACTTGAAACTTTTCTTTCTTTTAGTGACAAGGATAGCTTTACTGCTTATTTAACTATAAGAAGACTTAGATTAAACTACAGTACTGGACAATGAAATATCATATTTGAAAAACGATCGTCACTTTCGCGCGTCTGTAACTTCCTTGTCTTTGAGTTTAAACTATTAGTGTTATACATTTTCTGAAAGCTCTTTTCAAGGGCTACACAATGGTAATATTACTATTTAGAAATATGGTATTTTCTGACGCATTTCAGCGCGCACAAGATGGGATACTCAAAATTGTTGATTTTCAAAGCCGTTTTTCTTTATGATAGAGTGCTGGAATCGCTCTGAAACTATGATTTTCGGAATCTACGCAAAAATTTACCTTAGAATCATCAATATTTGCAAAATTTTATCACAGTTTCATAGCGAAAAAAACCACATTTGCGAAATTCTCACTTCTTGAGCGGTTGCGTGCTTTGTGTTTTTGCTGCTGCTGCTGCTGCTGCTGCAACCACTACAAAAATTGTGTTGCGTGCAACTTTGAATGTTTTTCTTTCTTTGCCTTGGGTAAAATGATAATAATTACTGTTTTTAGGAGCAATGGAAAAGCAACGAGGATGCAAGGATCTTCATGTGCTTACACAACAAGCAATCCTTAACGGCAAAAAGCAAGGTCTTAGCCAGAACCAGTTATCGGAACAGTTTACCGTCTCTCAGTCGGTTGACTCCAGATTTCTATAACGATCTAAAGTTCGAAAGGTCGAAACTTGAGCGACGAACTAAGAATCTCAAAGCCGGCAATGCCGATGAGAGGTTTGCACAATTGGAGCAGGCTTGGAATTCACTAATAGTTTAAACTCAAAGGCAAGGGAGTTACAGAGGCGCGAACATGACGATCGTTTTTCAAATATGATATTTCATTGTCCAGTACTGTAGATTAGGTCCAGATCCAGGTCCAGATTGATCCAGATTGATCCAGATCGATCCAGATTGATCCAGATCGATCCAGATTGATCCAGATCGATCCAGATTGATCCAGATCGATCCAGATTGATCCAGATTGATCCAGATCGATCCAGATCGATCCAGATTGATCCAGATCGATCCAGATTGATCCAGATCGATCCAGATTGATCCAGATTGATCCAGATTGATCCAGATCGATCCAGATTGATCCAGATCGATCCAGATCGATCCAGATTGATCCAGATTGATCCAGATCGATCCAGATTGATCCAGATCGATCCAGATTGATCCAAATCTAGCCTTGATTCACCTAAATCTGAAACCTGATTCGAAAACCTGATCCGAAAATCCCTATCGGATTTTGCCGGAGTTGAACTGGATCGGATCGGATTTGATTGCATTAAATGTCCTACGTATCTCTCAGCTCTCTAATATTGTTTTTCCACTCACATAGCTTGAGTACTCTTTCATCTCGTGTTCATTCGAGTGATTCTGAGACGTGCGACCTCTCCAGAAGCATCCTTGACACAATTGATAGTTCGCACAGCGCTGGCATTTATAGCGAAATCCAGTGAACGAGCGAACCTGGAAATCGGGATTTTAAACAATTGCAAGCTTTGTAAAGCTTTCAAATTCTACATTTACAAGCGAAATCTTGATTTACAGTTTTGTTTTACAGTTTTACACTGAAAGTTCTGCCCTTTTTAAATTCTTTAAAAGCTTTCTGATTGATTTTTTTTCATAAATGTTTATAGCGAAAAGATAGCCAATCTTTTACAGAATTTAACTTCTTATTACAGTTTTTAAATAACTTCTTTAGATTTTGAGTTATCCCTATTCTATACTCTTCAAAAAAAAGCTTTTGTAAGCTTTCAAATCCAAAAAAGCTAATCTTTCTAAAGCTAATCATCTAGCCAATCATCTAGCCAATCATCTAGCCAATCATCTAGCTAATCATCTAGCTAATCATCTAGCTAATCATCTAGCCAATCATCTAGCCAATCATCTAGCTAATCATCTAGCCAATCATCTAGCTAATCATCTAGCCAATCATCTAGCCAATCATCTAGCTAATCATCTAGCTATTCATCTAGCTATTCATCTAGCTAATAATCTAGCTAATCATCTAGCTAATCATCTAGCTAATCATCTAGCTAATCATCTAGCTAATCATCTAAAGCTAAACTATCTTTTTCTCTACCTGACACGCATCACAAACGACTGGATGATACACGTGTTCGACGGCGGCCATCCGATGCAACAATGGAAGCCTATAAGTCTATAAGTTTAGTCTATAAGTTAAGTCTATAAGTTTAAATCTACTGTATACGATTTTTTAGAATAGTAGTTTAAATCTAAAATCTACCACATAATGCAGGGTGGACACGGATCGGACATGAAAACATCCAAGAAATGGTTCAGCGTCACTTTCGCCTCCTAGAAGTTTCTTAATTGATTCAACCAATCAATTGCCGACATAGCCGGTTGGTTAAGAGCCTTGTATCTTAGGAAAAAGGTCAAGGGTCCAATTCTGACTAGATTCTCGCTAGATTATTGCTTCTTTTTTCGATAACGATGATGCTTTCAACAACGATGATGATTTCGATAACGATTATGGGTTTTTCTCTACTTTCGGATTGTTTTATCACATTATTCCTGTCATTCGTTATCTTTATCGACAAGGAAAACATTTAAGAGCTAGTTATTGTTTACAACTTTAACAATGTTCTTCTTTAATACAACATTGTTTACAACTTTAATTTATCTCTTTTTAAACGCACAATTTATCAAAACTTTGCCTTATTAGGGCAAACTTCGATGAAACTGGAGCAACCTGGCACTATCACAATTGCTTCAACACTTGCGTGTGAAAAAAGGGATGAATAGAAAAGGGACTGACTGACTGACACAACTGACTCAAAACAAAGCTTAAATAATGAGCTTTTAAGTACACAAGCTACGACAAACGGACCACTGAATATCGTCTAGTGACTGGTATCGTCTAGTGACTGATATTGTCTAGTGACTGATATTGTCTAGTGACTGGTATCGTCTAGTGACTGATATCGTCTAGTGACTGGTATCGTCTAGTGACTGATATCGTCTAGTGACTGATATCGTCTAGTGACTGGTATCGTCTAGTGACTGGTATCGTCTAGTGACTGGTATCGTCTAGTGACTGATATTGTCTAGTGACTGGTATCGTCTAGTGACTGGTATCGTCTAGTGACTGATCTCGTCTAGTGACTGATATCGTCTAGTGACTGATATCTTCTAGTGACTGATATTGTCTAGTGACTGGTATCGTCTAGTGACTGATTAAGGTAGTTTATCCATCAACTTTGAATTTTAACTTGTGTATTGAATTTTGACTAACTGCAGAGCAGTGGCGAATTGCCACAAGTTCTATACAGTTTACACGTTGGCTCTTTTTCGACTCGATTGATTAAGTGCTTTTAACAACGTTAAACCTTAACCTTTAACCTTAAACTTTAAAACTTAAACTTTAAACATTACATACATAATTTCTATTAAAATTTGATATCTTTATTTATTCTTTTCCTTTATCATATCTATTATAAGGTTTTTTGAGATAAAAAAAAACCTTTGGAAAACATTGTGAAACGGCAGCTTCAGTGAATCCAAAAGTTGGCGCCTCAAAGACAGCTGTTGTTAAAGCCAAAGCCTGGAATAAATCGTAAAATTTGTTCTATTTGTATATTCTATTTGTATATTCTATTTGCATATTCTATTCTACTTTATAAATGATTATTCAGGAAAAACTAAAGTCAAATTTGCACCTGTTGAAGCAAATCAGCAAATCGGTCGTGCTCCAGTAAGCCGTTTGAGTCAGAGATTTGTGAGAACATATCTAAATATAAGAAATTACTTATTACATGTAATATAGCATAGCTTTTCATATATAAAAAAGGAATGGCAAAGAATTTGGAACTTATTGAGAATTGAACCCTTGACTTTACCTTGACGGGCAATTCCCATTGAGCTATCACCTTCTCTTCTCAAAAAGAACTAGGAAAGGAAGAGAAAGGAAGGAAGAAAGGAAGGAAGGAAGAAAGGAAGGAAGGATGGAAGGAAGGATGGAAGGAAGGAAGAAAGAAAGGAAGGAAGGAAGAAAGGAAGAAAGAAAGAAAGACAGGAAGAAAAGAAAGCCTTCAACTCACATCTTAACTTGTCCACCAATTTCCCAGCACAGATCGTTGCCAACGCGATTTTGATCGAGAAAATCGAGAGTCGACCGGTTTGTTGTCTAAATGTAAATTAGAACAGTTTAATGTCATTAAAATGAAGAACTCAATGCATTAGAAGGCTCAAAAAACAAACTCACTTATCATAAGCGCCAAGCAAAAAGCTCAACAACAACGAGATCGATTTATCGGTGTCAATGTGCTGCGAGGAGACCAATCGTTTATTCAAGTTATGGAAAATCGATGTCAACAATAGCTCGACTCGAGAAGCTTTAATCTAAACTTATTATAAATAATGGAAATCTATAGAATTAATGACTTGTACATAAATGGGTAAAGCATTCAGTCCATTCTCCCGAAACGAATCAATCATATTCCAAATGTCGACAAGGTGAGCTAAAAGAAAGAAATTTCGAATATCTTTAAGAAATATTCATTTAGCAGCTCTTTATCTCAGAAATATTCTGGGTGAATGCTTTTATCGCCGTAGAGCAGTCGGGAGATCTAGCGCAGCTTTAGCGCAGCTCTAGCGCAGTCGGGAGATCTAGCGCAGTCGGGAGAGCTAGCGCAGCTCTAGCGCAGACGGGAGATCTAGCGCCGCTCTAGCGCAGTCGGGAGATCTAGCGCAGCTTTAGCGCAGCTCTAGCGCAGCTCTAGCGCAGCTTTAGCGCAGCTTTAGCGCAGCTTTAGCGCAGCTTTAGCGCAGCTTTAGCGCAGCTTTAGCGCAGCTTTAGCGCAGCTTTAGCGCAGCTCTAGCGCAGACGGGAGATCTAGCGCCGCTCTAGCGCAGTCGGGAGATCTAGCGCCGCTCTAGCGCAGTCGGGAGATCTAGCGCAGCTTTAGCGCAGCTCTAGCGCAGCTCTAGCGCAGCTCTAGCGCAGACGGGAGATCTAGCGCCGCTCTAGCGCAGTCGGGAGATCTAGCGCAGCTTTAGCGCAGCTCTAGCGCAGTCGGGAGATCTAGCGCATCTCTAGCGCAGCTTTAGCGCATCTCTAGCGCAGCTCTAGCGCAGCTTTGGCGCAGCTTTGGCGCAGCTTTAGCGCAGCTCTAGCGCAGTTGGGAGCTCGCTTCTCTACAGCTACACGATCCGGGTTCGACTCCCGGCTTTGTCGTGACTTTTGCTTTAAAAACGAAAGATGAGAAGCAAAACTACATAGAATTCTAACCCGAAACTTAAAATCATGTAAATCAGCCCATAGGAAGCTGAGAACTCGCGTTTACAGACAGACGGACGGACAAACGACGAACAAACACTTTCACGTGTTTTTCAAGTCAAAAAGCTACTTACAGAAAAAGTAGAAGAACTTTTGGGACACCCGGTATTGTAGATTTACGGTTAAACGACCAAAATTTACCGTTTGTCTTCTTCTGGATGAATCGCAGTTTGCACGCGGCTCGATAGGTGGCAAAACGGATCGAGTCAAAATCTTGCATTCCTGAAAAAAGCTCATTTGTTTTGATTTGCAATCCACCTAGTAGTATCCCAGTCTGGCTCCAGGCAAGGGGCAAAGACTGCAGTGGCAAAGACTGCAGTGGCAAAGCCTGCAGTTTGGTGGGCAAAGACTGCAGTGAAGCCAGTCAGGCTCTAAGCCTAAGCCAGTCAGGCAAGACAAGCCAAGCCAGGACCTGTCTGGCCAGGCTCTGTCTTTCTCGTGGACCCATGATTGATTACAGTTGCCTAATATAATTCTGAACCAACCCTGGTCCCAGCTACAGCATAGAACTTTGAAAAAACTAAATAGCTACCGTAAATACTCTATTAGAACGCCAGTTTCTCGTACAATCGCGTAGTCGCAAAAGGATTTCAAAAGCATTTTTAATATTTCATTTTTTTTTCAGAACTCTTATTTTCAAAAATTGCTTCGTTGTTCTCAAAAATATAGCCCTGAAGCTATTTTTTGATAGCTAAGCCCACATTGTAGCTTAAGGCAGTGCCAAGAAAAACTCGTTTAAAGTTACACTACACGACTGTACGCGCCGTCATTATGGGGCTGGCGTTCGATTAGAGTACGGTAGATAGTTTGAAAGTGGATCTAAAGCTTATAAAAGGTTTATAGAGTGGAAAGCTTAGCCTTTCATTTTGCTTAATTTGAAGCAGTTTTCGAAAAGGTTAAAAGTTGTTTCCGAACCAGACCAGACCTGGCTTTGGCCTGGATCTGGTCTGGATCTGACCTGGCTCTAGCCTGGCTCTGACCTGGCTTTGACCTGGCTTTGGCCTGGCTCTGGCCTGGCTTTCGCCTGGATCTGGCCTAGATCTGACCTGCTTTGACCTGGCTCTAGCATGGCTCTGGCCTGGCTTTGGTCTGGCTCTGGCCTGGATCTAGCCTGGCTCTGACCTGGCTTTGACCTGGCTCTAGCCTGGCTCTGACCTGGCTCTGACCTGCTCTGGTCTGAGCCGGGAAGAATGGCTTTGGCGCAACGCTGGCTACAGCAGTTCAAGACTTCTATCTATTTTTCCAACTCACGCATTTCGTCGATGAGTGCCTGCAGCTGTAGAGCACATTCGGAGTCGGGTTGGCCAGTTGGATGCGGATTGGTGACACCGATCCCATTGACCGACGTGGTGGAGACACCGGGTTGGGGTCCTCCGTCTCCATTCTGCGCGCCCATCGCATCCGAGATCCACATCCAAGTATCACTAGCTCAGCGAATTTGTCAGTTAATGGACCTGTAAAAGTAGATAGCTCAAAATTTGTAAACACACTGCACTAAATTCTTCATTTTTCTTGCAAAAATGGAGAATTCAGGGTAGCAGATGCGTTTACAAAAGTTGAGCACAAAGTACACCAAGAAAGATGTTCAAAAGATGTTCAAAAGATGTTCAAAAGAAAGTCAGATATCAAAGTCAAATATCTTTAAAGTCAAATAGGAATATCTTAACTGGCAATGTTTAGTAATGAAATGAGAAAAGGGGAAATTTTGAAGGAAATCCCACTCCCAAATTGCTTACACATGGGCGAATGCGAAATCACTAAATCGCAAACCTCATTTGTCCCATTACTAATTTGTCTCGTGTTTTTACAAACAAAAGGAAAAGCTAGTTTAGAAAGCTGGAAAGCTTGGAAGCTGGAAAGCTTGGAAGCTGGAAAGCTTGGAAGCTGGAAAGCTTGGAAGCTGGAAAGCTTGGAAGCTGGAAAGCTTGGAAGCTGGAAAGCTTGGAAGCTGGAAAGCTTGGAAGCTGGAAAGCTTGGAAGCTGGAAAGCTTGGAAGCTGGAAAGCTTGGAAGCTGGAAAGCTTGGAAGCTGGAAAGCTTGGAAGCTGGAAAGCTTGGAAGCTAGAAAGATGGAAAGCTAGAAAGATGGAAAGCTAGAAAGATGGAAAGCTAGAAAGATGGAAAGCTAGAAAAGCTCTTTTGCAAATATCTTTGGCTATTTCGTTTTCTAAAAGAAAATTTTGGATAAACTACCTGCGAATTCTAGATCAGTCCAATTCTGCTATCATTGCCTTGTGATTCCATCAAAATTGAATTGATTGAATGGAAACTGGTGTCCAGATTAATAGATAACCAACTTATTTACTTCTAAACATGTTCACAATCAAATATTACCAAATTAGTTAAAGAAAACAAAGAAATGCGAAGATTTTCTCTCTTTCTTGAGATCACGATGTAATAAGGAAGATCCCCTTTGCTTGCTCTTCTTCCTTTCTTCTTCCTTTCTTCTTCCTTGTCTTTAGCTAAAGAACTTAGACATTAGTCTCTAGCCCCATTTTTTAGCTATTAGCATCAGCTTTTAATCCTTCTTATCTCCAGAAAAACGAGGAATCAATTGCATTAGAAAGCGTACGTTTACAGCTTTTTTTTTGACAAAGTGCAAGATAGGAAAAGGAGCTGGAAATGATCGTTTAAATCTATTCTTTCTAGATGTTTTTCGGCGTAATGTTTACAATGATTGCAGCGTAAAAATTACATCAACAAACTACTCTAAAAAAGGTTAAAAAAGGAAACTAGGCATATTGGCAATATCGAGAAGGTGAAATGGAATGGAATTGGAGGAGAGGAGGGGAGAAGGAAGAGGAGAAGAGAAATGGAGCAGAGGGAAGACTCGAAAAGAAATAGGGAAAAGAAACGGGGAAAGAAACGGGAAAAGAAATGGGGAAAAGAAGCTGATAGAAACAAGGGAAAGGAAGAGATTGGGGAATGAGGAGAAGCAAGAGAATGAGTCTAGAAGAGACCCTGGGAAAGGGGTTCTGGGTGGAACTGGGAGCTGAGGCTGTGCCCCCCAGCTCCTCTCCCCGGTTCAGGCCCCTTTTCAATCCCCCTGCCGGCCAGAGAACAGACTTCATCCAGAGCTCCTTTCCCCTCTTTCCTTTCCTTTCTTTCCTTTCCCCTTTAGGCCCCAACTGGCACCATTAGCGGTGCCCATTTTACCCCACAGCTCACTCTCCCCATCTCTACCAATTCTCTTTCTTTTTCTCATGCCTCTCTTCCTCTTGCTTTGCTCGTTCAATTCTTTTCCTCTTTTTCCACAATGATGTGGTTTGGAAATGTTCGTTATTACAAAAAAAAAGCGCTAAAAATGAGAATATGAGCCAAAAGCTATCCAAATTTTGGCTTAAATGTCTAAGATTTAGGGTTGAATGAATGCCAATTGGCCATAGAGTCTGTAAGGATAGTTCTGTCTAGAGCCAGGATCCAAGCCTGGCTTCTGGCGAGCGAATTTGAGGATTTCTTGTGTTCTGCTAATAAGATCAGGCTTACGGTAGGACCAGGGTAAGCCAGGGTTCGACCTACGGTAGGACCAGGGTAAGCCAAGGTTCGACCTACGGTAGGACCAGGGTAAGCCAGGGTTCGACCTACGGTAGGACCAGGGTAAGCCAAGGTTCGACCTACGGTAGGACCAGGGTAAGCCAGGGTCCGGCCTACGGTAGGACCAGGGTAAGACAGGGTCAGGCTTACGGTAGGACCACAGTAAGCCAGGGCCCAGCCTACGGTAGGACCAGGGTAAGACCAGGGCCAAGCCTGCAGTAAGACAACGGTAAGCCAGGGTCAAGCCTACGGTAGGCCCAGTTTCCTGATAGAAAACCCTACCAGCTCACAGTGAATTTGTTAAAAATCTTTTTTTTTGTGACTATTAACTTCAGCTGAAGCTATCGCCTGTCCAATGTAACTAAGAAATGAAAATATTATTTAACCAACACATAAACACATCAATACCCGAAAAAAGATGAGATTCTATGAAAGAAAGAGAAATATCTGCTATTCAATCAAACACATAATCCACTCGTGTTCTCGCATTTCGTTCCACTTGGACATTTGGAGCAAAATGGACCAGGTGAGTAGGCGTTCGTTCGCAGGTAGTTTCCACTAGAAATAAAGAGGCTTTGATGGGATATAACTTTGCCTAGAGACTATATTATTGTTAACTTTTTATATCATTGGATAGAGGACGATTTAGGCTTTCAAATGATACTAAATAGAGTTTGATTGGATTATCCATTCCCATGAAAACTAAGCAATACGGCATCCGAGTTGGATCGGCCTCGTTTGTCCAGAGTTGGCTTGAATTTCTCTGGATCGGTTTATCCAATCAAGCTCTATTTAGTGTCATTTGAAAGCCTAAATCGTCCTCTTTCAAACGATATAAAAGTTAGCCATAATATAATCTCTAGGTAAAGTTATATCCCATCAAAGTCTGGCCAGTCATTCAAAATGCTCGGATTTCGGCCAAGCCCTATATTACTTATTACTTATTACTTATTACTTTACTGTATTACTATATTACTATACAAATGTCATAAGTACCATTCTAGCTTTTGTATAGACATTGAACTAACGGTTTTGTGTATTGACAGACGACGATGACGTTATGTTTCCCATTGCACAGCGTTGCTCCACAGCCCATCTCGCTTGACGAAGACCAGGCCATCTTCAAAAATTGCTATGACGATAAAAATAAAGAATTCAGTGCACCAGAAAAAATGCGTTTACAAATTTAAGCACAACATACACTTGGGTAAACAGATGACAGCTAACTTGACAGCTAACTTGACAGCTAACTGGTCCTTTTTACCTGTGTAGCATGCCCGACTCCTGTGTCGAACACATCAAGGTTAAACGTTAGATTTAACCAGCCGAATTGTTGAAACTCGTTGGCCCATGCGGTTGCTGACTTATTGCCTGTAAAACATGTTCAAAAGTCTATCCTTTTTCCCCACCTTTTCCCTCAATTCCATCAACAGCTGATGACCAGGACATGTACAAATTCTCGCCAACACCGTTTGTTTGAGAATGCTCGAAGATACACTTCTCAGAGTAATTCTGTGCTGATGACTCGAGAGATGGAGACCATTTCTGGAAACGTTGCATTGGTTGCATCGATTTTGGACTGAGTTTTCTTCGATTTCAGTATTAGTTTAGTCTACTTTACGCAGAAATCCTCTTTTTTAAAATACTGGTGCTCCAGGGCTGTTCCAGAAAAGCAAAAGCTCTGGCTAGTCAAGCTAAGCCCAAGCCAAGCCCTTGACTTAGCCTTGGTCTGGAATTTCAACCTTACTCCTGGACGAGAACCTGAGTCTGAGTCTGAGCCTAAGCCTGAACCTAAGCCTGAGTCTGAGCCTGAGCCTGAGCCTAAGCCTAAGCCTGAGCCTGAACCTAAGCCTGAGCCTGAATCTAAGCCTAAGCCTGAGCCTGAGCCTAAGCCTGAACCTAAGCCTGAGTCTGAGCCTGAGCCTGAGCCTAAGCCTAAGCCTGAGCCTGAACCTAAGCCTGAGCCTGAATCTAAGCCTAAGCCTGAGCCTGAACCTAAGCCTGAGCCTGAACCTAAGCCTGAGCCTGAACCTAAGCCTAAGCCTGAGCCTGAACCTAAGCCTGAGCCTGAATCTAAGCCTAAGCCTAAGCCTAAGCCTAAGCCTAAGCCTAAGCCTAAGCCTAAGCCTAAGCCTAAGCCTAAGCCTAAAACCTTCACTTTGGCTCTGATTTGGTCTAGAATTTGAGCAAAAATAGAGCGAAAAAAACAATTGTCTTGACTTGGAAAATCTGAAATCTGTCTGTCTGTCTGTCTGTCTTGACCTAGAAAAACGGCCCTAGGAACACCCTTGGCTAATTACCTGCCTAGATTAAGTGTCTGTCAAATTATTTGTTTAACCAGCGATCAACGAGCTGAAAAACCCGCTCAACGGCTCACGTGGACGGGTTTTTCGGCTGGGTGACTCTTATCGCAGTGGCGCAAGCGGGAGAGCACTTGTCTACGGGGTACATGAGCCGGGTTCAACGCCCCGTAGTGGCACTCAATTTTTACTTTTCCAGTTTTTATTTCAAATGGAACAACTACATTATATTCTCAAGTTTTCTAAAGTAGTTTTCACGTTATTGGTCAAAACACGGCCAAGAAAATGCCCGGACAGACAGATCGACAGATAGATAGATAGACAGACAGACAGATAGAAAGACAGACAGAGAGACAGATAGACAGACAGACAAACAAACAGGCAAACAAACATACAAACAAACATACAAACAAACAGACAAACAGATAGATAGACAGACAGATAGGTAGACAGACAGACAAACAAGCAAATAAACAAACAGACAGACAAACAGACAGATAGATAGACAGACAGACAGACAAACAAGCAAACAAACAGACAGACAAACACTGCTCTTTTATATATCATAGATATTTTTTTCTTTGCTCTGGTACAATGTGGTGAAAGTAGAGGCTGAGACTTTTCCGTATATTCAGCAGGCCTAATAATCTAATATACTCACAATTTTGCGCATATCCGCCGCCGGAGGCATCAGTTTCCCCTTTGCCGTGAACTTTCCAAGCGCAATTTGAGCACGCAGATTGTTGTGTACCTAAAAACAAAAACTTTAGTAAACAAATCGAAAATTCGACTTTTCTACACCTTGAGGGTATTTCTTTCTAAATCTTGTCCTTTTTAAAAGGATAAGGTCCTTATCCTTTAAACTACCGTAATCCTTTTTAAACTACCGTAATCTTGTCTCAATTTTTATTTAATTCATCCACTTTTCTGTAAAGGTTCATAAAGGAATGAGATATAATTAGTGAGATATAAAAAGTGACTCAATTATCGTATTCTACAGTACCTAAAACACGTCTTAAAGTCTCTACAACAATAGCTGTCAAAAATTAAGATTAACTGATTGATTAAGAGAAGATTACGATATTTTGTCGAGAGAGTTGTAGTTTTAGTTGTTGTTTTAGGAAATGGTTTTAAGTAAAAGACAATCAATTGTCAAAGGAACCTCCTCGGGTATAATAGGAAGTAAAATTTTTTGAGTAAAATAGCTTTTAGACGTAGCTCGACCAAGACCTAAGAAGTACGGATATGCGCCAGCTCCAGAAGACTAGAAGTCGCCAGAAGAAGGAGAGCGGCCCGGACAGCACTAGGAAGCATCAAAGAAGTCACAAAGATACTCAAGAATCACCAGAGCACTCGGGCAAACCTCTTCGACAGCGCCGTCCTCCCGGCACGCTGCTACGGGACAGAGACCTGGACCACGACACAGACCACCGAACGAGCCCTGAGAACGACGCATCGAGCCCTTGAAAGGAACCTCCTCGGGTACAATAGGAACGAGCTCGACCAAGACCTAAGAAGTACGGATATGCGCCAGCTCTCGGGACTCAGAGATCCAGTGAAAGTGATTGAGAGAAAAAGACTCAGATGGGCCGGCCACGTAGCCAGAAAAACAGACGACAGATGGACGATACGGATCACAGAGTGGCTACCACGAGACCAGAAGAGGCCCATCGGAAGACCAGCAACGAGGTGCAGCACAAGAGTGGCAGAGGTCAGACGGTCAGATGGCTAGAGTGCAACCACCACCAGCACAAGCAAGTCGAAGACTTCGAACCAGGAACAATCAAGATAGGAAACACTGGATGACAATAGCAAGGGATCGAGAAATGTGGAAGCAGGTTGTGATCTGCGCAAATAGGAACACCTGAATGCGAAGACAGATCAAAAAACAAAAAATCAAATGTCAAAGACAATCAATTGATGAAGCTTACCCGTAAGAGATCATCTTTATCCTGTTGTTGAAAGAATCCAAGAACGATTGCAGGGAAAAAAGCTAAAAACAAAACACCCAACATTTCAGCAAAGTTATGCGAAATCTTGAACCCGTGTCAGCTAAATAGGTGACCGAATCGTGTCCACAAATAGTCGTTTCGCGGGGATTTTTCTGCGAAAAGAGACAAATGAATAGGAAAAAGAAACCCGTTAGAAAAGGGGAAACGTTTTCTGAATGAATTCAATGATTGATAGTAAAAAGGGACGATTCTGAGACTGAGACGCGTGTTTCTGCTCGGGTTTTTTTCTATTACTTGCTTGCACAGCACTTATCCAATCTTCTTACTCATACACTCGTTTTGCTCGTCTAAAAAACGTGTACGAAAGCAATTTGGTACAATATTTGCGATTACGCTAATCTAAAAAGCATTTTCTTTATCTAGAACAAATGATAAACCAAATTAGCCCTTATTCTCGCTAAAAATCACTTCAAAAACTGTAACCTCTAAATTCCAAACCATCGCTCGTCGATCGATCACTTGAGAATCGCCAAAAGCATAATCAACACCATCGTAACATTTAGATGAGCCAAAAAGTAAAATGTGATTACGAAGATACATGTACAAGGTATTTGTTGATAGAAAGGAGTTCGATCATTGCATCCGCATCATCGATTGAATCGATAACTGACAATTGCAATCCTGAACACTATTTGTTGAGGGGAAACTTCATAGTTTCGCTCATTTTCCAGAGAATCGTCGAAAATTTTAATGAGATTTTTCGTTTTTTTTTATGCAAACCATTTCTTCGATGGTTTAATTGGGCCGCTTTTAGCACTCGGGCTGTGAGCACGGTAAAACAGCAAAAATTCGTATATCCATCAAAACTTGTAAGTTCGAACTTATTCTTGTTTTCCTTCAATTCTCCAATATCGTTGTAAAAATTTATTCAGGAGATCCCTCCCATAATTGAAGAAATCTATTAGAAAGTGAACATTAAACAAGACTTATCAAAAGCAAAGCGAGAACCAAACCAAAGTTACAAGAGAGAAGAAGAAAATTAAATGTTGTTGATGAGTGGATAAAGATGGAAAGAAGAAAAGCAAATCAGGGGAAAAGAAAATGAAAATCGATTGGGGTGTTAATACTAAAAAGTGCACCTGGGAAATCAATAAATTGGGCATTAATAGTATTACGGATAAAAATAAAAAAGATAGTCAGGTTAAGATAAAATAAAAAATGAAAGCGGAATTTGGTGAAATATAGAGAAGCATCTGACAAAGTGAAAGCGTGTGTAAGACGGAAAACTAGTATCGTAAAAGCTAGAACCTTCAGTTCTTCGACGAGTTAGAAGAACGACTTCATCAGACGAGCCACATCACCGGTTGCAAGTAGATTTGTGAACGACTCCTTGCGGCTCACATTGCGACCACCTCGTTGACAGATTTCGAGAGTCTAAAATGAATTGAAATTGGTCAAAAAGTATTCTATCTGTGTTCATGAAACACGCCAGCCAACTGTGACTGCAGAATTTGACCAGAAGGCACGCTATCTAATACGACTTTCAGATAAAAACATACCCGATTTCTTGAAACTGATTTCCGACTCGACTTTCGGGTTTCTGTTGTTTTCGTTGCCGGGACATCAATGCACTCAAGCGTAATCATTCTGGAATTTGCAAGATTAAAGTCCCCAATTTTAAAACTTACTTTCCATCAGTCGAAAAGCGTATTGCCGAGCCGCCTCTTTCGTGATGAAACAACACTTTGCGCTCTTTTAGTGAAGCTTTTTGGGTGAATTCTCGAAATAATTTAGCTGATAGACGCTCATTCGGCTGAAATAAAATCATCAAACTTGCAATAATTTTATAAAACCTTTGTATCCATGAGTGCAAGAAATACAACTGGCTGAAGAGTTTCACAGTCAATCTTTATCCAGTTGAACTCACAAACAGCTGGAGCAAGTTGCCAGGCCTAAAGTGTTAACTTGACAATTTTATGGCTCTTTAGAACAGACTTTGATAAACATGACCAATCCTTCGGCTTTCAATTCCTTACATCCATGTAGTTCGATCGAGATTCGAGCTCGCCGGTTTTCGGGAATACGTAGCCATTTGCAAAGCAGTTTCTCATCCACACGTAGTGCGGCATGCTCACTCTGAAGAAAAAAATAATGGCTGAGTATTTGCCACCCATAAAACATGGTACTCACCGGTTGTTTGATGATCAATCTTTCCAGATCATTTAAGCTCAGCCATTGCCCCAGTTCCACTGTTTCACTTCCAGTCAAATTTTCCAGCGTTAATTCGCGTAAATTTTTTCGTAACCTAAACTAACAAAATAAACTAAAAGACAGCAAAACCTTACAATTTAATAGCAAAGAAGACCATTCGAAGCGGGCGACGTTTGCGACGTGTAGTGTCCTGCCAAAAAAATTGTCAAGTTTTAACTCTTTCTTACTTTGATGACAAGATGTAATGGATTTATCTCCGAGAGCACTCGTGCGAGACGCTCAATCCTGCCCGAGGAAAGAGCCGACACTTCCTGAAATTGAAAAGTTTGACCTAGCCTTTTAAACAATTTCAATGATAGTTGCAATATAATTTACCTCCATCGTTTCGCCACTCCAAATTTGTAGATCATGCCGAGCCCATGTCGTGCTTATATCGCGTAAGTACTGTGTTCCATTTGTGGTCGTCGCAATCTGGCCTCCGCTCATCCCACTCGTTTGAAAAGGCGAATTCGCTGGTGACCACGGCGGTGTGTTCTGAAAGCTTCAAATACTTAAAGCATTTGGCAAGAAATATACTTAACTTTAAATAATTTTATTCAGTTTAAATTTTTCCCTGCCTTTAACGGCATAAAAACTGACCAAGCCAGCTATAGATTGTGCGTGTGGAATGGTCCCCTGCCGATTTGTGCCAGCAACATATGGTGTCGGCTCGGCCATCTCTGTTACCTCGCGTTCAAGAAAAGCGCAGAAATTGTGGCAAACAACCTAAAGATCAATTTTTAAAAAGACAAAACATTGAGTAATACCTCTTTAATCTCATAATCTTTAAGCCATTGATTGACGTTCCACGAAAATGCCCAACTCGTGCCATCTTCGGCAGCTACTTGTTGATCAGCATACACCTAAAAATTTAATAAAAAAAGTTCGTTTACAACGATTAATGATTAATGATTAGTATAACCAATAGAATCACTTACGGAATCATTAAGTTTTGTAGGTGTTATTGTCAAATTTCTTAATGAATCTCTAGCGGTCGTCTTGCTCTCTCGAACCTTAATAAGAAAATAGACTTTGATTCACACGCCAAGTGATAAATGACCACTCGATCCTTGCCGAACTTTTTCATCTAATAGATCAAAATTTTATAGGTAAAGATTCAAAAAATGGCAATTTGGGGAAATAAAGATTCTCATTTCCCGATCATTGATGCTCATTGAAAAAAAATGGACCAGATTTCTTCAAAAAACGCTTAACGATCTCGTCAATTTTCCTCTTTTTTGTATATCTAAGCAAAATTTGGTGACATGATCGATCTTCCGGGATTCCTTGCTCGAGTAAATGATCTGCATACTAAGAGAATTGAGCTACCGTCTCAATTGAGTTGTAATGGGTGCTCAAGGCGGTGATGAGTTGGAACGAGTCTGCTGGCAATGATGAAGATTGATTAAGCCAAACATTGCGGTGAAGGAACAGCACATATTGGGTTGGGGAGTATGAAATGGCGTTGACTTTCAAAGAAACTTCTATAAAATCGAGTGGTCTTTATCAAATGACACTCGGTTAGTATCATTAGAAAGATCACTTATTTCTCTACAAAATCTTATTTAAAATAGAACTCAATAAGCGCCCCAATTCCATAAAAGATAATTTTTTCAGAAATCTATAAATCGTCATTTAGAGAAAATGCCTGACGAGATCACTACAAAAAATTGGCTACTTATGTAATTAAATGTGCTCTAACTTTTGTTTTGACAAAATTAAGTTCAAAACAATGTGTAAGGAATGAGTCAAACAACGAATCGGACTTCTTGTCATTTTGACTGGTTGCGTTTAGAAGACTCAAAAGCCATTTTGTAGAGCAATGACAGACCTTTTTGATTATACAAACAATGAATTATATGCAGCTTTTATGTGTTCCAGAAAAATTTTTGAAAGTCAATTCCATACTCGCCAACCCAATACAATAAGTAGAACTAGCAAAAAAGACAAACTTTTATAGGTGGAGTGATGGCTGAATGCTTTTCGTCCATTAATAAATCATTTTCTTGTTGCAATAACTCATCCTTTGTTAACAATCTCTCGAGAATAATTCTAAAATAAACTGATTAATAATTCAACAATAAAAAAACCTTTTACGATCAGCAACGTATAACCGGCCAAAGCTTGCAATTCGTAGAGCCGGCTCCTCTTCTTCATCAATCTCAAAAATTTATACAATTGATTTTGTAAATAAACAAACTTTTTGAATTATATTTTGGTCTTCTTGTTGAGCGGCCCTTGTCAGAATGATGTGTCTCCAGTTTCGACAGACTTGTGAGCATTTGCGTAATGTTACCGGATCACATCTAAAATAGATCGTTAAAAAAGTTGTTAGTGGATTCAAAGCATTCCAATGTTTTTAAAACTTCAGCTCAACAACATCAGCTTGCACAACCCGAACACCAAATTTTCCCAGAAAACATTCAGAAGAAACAAACCTTTTAAAAACTTCCAGTATTCCGCGATCCTGATCAACCATTTCCGTTCTGTTCGATGATTCGGGAGACTTGTCTTGTTGAAACGTGATTTTTCTCGACAGTGACCTTTTTTCTTTCATTCTATCAGACCATCCGTTTTCTAAAATGATAAGTAAAGATTTTAAACAAGAACTACCATATCAGAAAAAATAAAATCTCTGCCAAATTTCAAAAATAAACAAAACCTTTAAGGAAACCTTTTGCCTAATTTGTTTTGTTTGCCGCTTAAAAGTTGGTTTAAAAGCTCAAAACAAAAGACTAATTGGCTCACGGTCCAGTTTACTCTTCTCCAAAGTTACACTTTGGTGCAAAAGTCTTGATCGGTCGCACTGTCCTATCGAGTCTGAGCAATTTAGCCAGGAAAAGAACGTTAAATTTTTATGACAAAAAGGTTTTTGGATAGCTTAAACCTTCTACTTTCTACTACTCCAAAGGGCCAAAACAATAACATTCTATTTAACAAAAATTTTTAACAGCATTCCTTTGACTATTCGTAACTTTTTCGAGGGGGGGCTTCAATGATGATGCTAGTTTGGTCCCAAACTGTTCGTAACTATTTTCGTTCTATTTTTGCGTAGTATCAGCGTGCCATAATATAATAGCACATGACAGGCGAGGGTGCACTTAAGCAAGCCCGAGTTGGGGTAACTGCTGCAAGCTCTTCGGGCAGTAGTTGGGCTGAACCAGAACTATCTCTAGAGACCTTGCAGCATTTACCCCTTCCGAACCTGCCTAAATGCATCCCGATATGCGCTATTATATTATGGTATAATACACATATGCACATTAATAATAATACACAAACCTATCGAAATTTAAAATCTGACAAAACGGGGAGCCGGTCAAAACAGCGCCACGGTAAAAATAGCTCCTCCGCGGTTCATTTTCTGTGTTTCTTATTCTTATTGGATGCAGAATAAAATTATCTACATTTTACACACTTTGGGATCACCTAAAAAAGAATTGGTGCCGATAAAAGCTCAGTTAACCTCTTTTTGAGCCCTTTTTCGTTTTTTGGCATTTTCTCATCCCAGATTTGTTCTAAGCGGCTCCAAAAATTCAGGAAATAGCTATTTTTTTCTACATCCAATGAAAATAAGAAATACAAATAAAGTTAACCGCAAGCGCATTATTTTGACCAGCGCTGTTTTGACTAGCTCCCACAAAACGAAACCTATCAAAAAACTGACGAATTCGGGGAATGGAACAAATGCAACCTTTTTTGTGCACCCGGCCCATTAGCGTACCTTTTTTCGCGTTTTAAAAAAGCTAGTATTAACCAATTTCTATTCAAAAAGTTGTTTTTCTGGGTAATTTTAGGGCGTAGAATCCAAATTTTGACATATCAGAGCTTGTAAAAGCGATTTGAAAGATAAAACGGGTGGAGCAAATTACAGAAAATTGCCGATTTTTCCCGATGTATCACTCCGTCCGTTTGCTTCCACAAGCTCTGATATGTCAAAATTTGGATTCTACGCCCTAAAATTACCCAGAAAAACAACTTTTTGAATAGAAATTGGTTAATATTAGCTTGTTTAAAACGCGAAAAAAGGTCGCATTTGTCCCAGTCCTCGAATTCGAACTTCTGCTCAAAAATTTGACACGATGCTCAAAAGAAAATGGATGAATGAATCCTGTGAAGTTTTCCAAAAATCAAATGTACTGAGGCTACGGTGAGACAGACTATCGTCACTAAGGTGCTATTTAGGGGGGGTAGTCAAATGAGCGCCAACAATTGGGCGCCAATCATTTCAGCGCCAACGATTTGGCTCACGCTTATTTCAGCGCCACTCATTTGAGCGCCGTGCCAAAAATGACTGGAAAACAATCATTTGAGCGCCAAATTAAAAAGGCCTAAAAACGTTCATTTAAGCGCCGGGCCAAAAATGACTGGAAAACGTTCATTTCAGCGCGACTAAATTTTAATATTTTTGCTTTCTACGCTGCTTTTGCATGTTTTTTAGGGTTTTGCTTCTGTTTTTACACTTTTTTCACTCATTTGACCTAGGGCACGGCAGTAGGCACCAAATGCGCGGAAAAAAATTGTTAGATTAGCTCGTATTTAAGGTTTTTTTGATGAAAATGTGTAAATTTGCTAGTTGTATGATATTTTCCCCCAATAGCATGCTTTTTCACCGTTTCTTGCCGTTTTCGTTTACAATTTGCTTACAGTTAACATAGTTCTTTGCTTAGGCTCGTGAACTGCGCAAGAAGTGGCGAGACAAAGGAACACTCTGAGTCAAAGTAACGTTTTGTTCATGATTTATTTTGGTTTATTTTGCTGCCAAGAATTATTTTTATCTTTAGATGATTTAGATAAAAACATACAGTAAAAACTTTGAGATCATGCAGAAAATGCAAAAATAACATGCATATACAGAATGGGCTGATTCGGCGCTGAAATGAATGTTTTCCAGTCATTTTTGGTGCGGCGCTGAAATGAACGCGCGCTGAAATGAACGCGCGCTAAAATGATTGGCGCTGAAATGATTGGCGCTGAAATGATTGGCGCTCAATTTTTGGCGCTCATTTGACTACCTCCCCTATTTAGAATTCACAAATTGCAAATAACATTTTTTGCCATTCTGTATTTGTTTTTTATCGCTTGATATTCGGTAAGGCCTTGTAACTGATCTAAAATAAAACCCCAGAAACAATTTATCTGCAATCTGCAATCACACAACCTTTAAGCGAATGATCAAAATTCTTCCTATAAGAGTCCTTTATTTTTTTTTCTCGTGGAGTGGAGAGAAGGATGCTACTTGCAAGGAAAGATGTCGATGAAGTTCGTGCCGGCGAATTGACGTTCCTTTTCAGGCCAATATCTGTAAAAGACTTTTTACCGAGATACGTTCCAAATATTTACTTCATGTTTGGAGAATAGAGTTGTTTCTGTGTCATCGCATCGTATCTTTTCTCGAACCAGAATGGCGTGTAGGTAGTCTTGCTACGGGCGCGTTGAGCCTAAAAACATGTACCATATAGCCAATTATGAAAAATCTACCTCTTCGAGTTGTTTCTTGAGTTGGCTGGCTTGCTGTGCTTGTCCATCCTCGAGGGCTCTCTGATCGGGACGATAGCGTGAATCCGTCGATGGAACATTATCACTTGATGTTGCCGGCTCGTTGAGTGTTACCGTGAATGGGCTAAAACAACAATTAGGCTGATCAGGAACAAGTGAAGACTAACTTGAAGCCGTAGTATGGGATGAGCTCGTCAGACTGTTGTGGGACCTGGAAGAGTTGTGTTTGTTGTCCGGTGGTTTCGATTCTAAAAAGAGCACAGTTAAGAATCTGCAAAGTTACTCACTTTGTCAATTCTTGATCCCAATGGCCAGACAGCTGACAACAGACCACATTTCCTCTGAAAATGTCACCTCGAAGCTGAAATTAAAATAAAATTTTCAAACAAAACACAAAGCACTTACTTCTCGACCCTTAAGGAAATGCAATTCACATGTCAAGCCATTTGTCGACGTAATCCGAAGCTTTCCCAGATAGCTAACCTAAACACAGATTTATTCCCAATAATACTTTTACCCAAAACTCACTTGTCTTTTATCGGGATTTGTGGCATTCTCAATGATCGTCTTCACTTTCACCGCCGAATAGTTCTCCTCACCCTCATTGGTGGCCAACTTGACACGCACGGGAGAAGGCTGATTTACCTATTACAAAACAATATACACATTGTTCAAATACAACTTGCCTCAATGACTGCCGTAATTTTCGCCGGTGCATTCGCGTCCATCGTTTGCCACCAAACCCATCCATTGCCCTCAGCAAAGCCGGCAGTGATTGGTGGGTGATGAGAGACCTGGTTAAAGAATATTTTACATTACAACACGTATAAAACTCACTTGTTCTCCATGGAATCGCCACTCAGGCTCAGTGTAGTCAAAAGTTTCGCCAAGGATCGGGTTGAACGGCTTCCGTGAGCGACCGAGTGTATTCGAGTACCCAGAAACAGTAAATGCAGCTATCATTGCCTAAAATAAAGAATAACATATGCATAAAATCAAACACAAACCATTCGATCGACTGGATCGGACATCTGTGCAGCACGCGACAAAAGCGAGGCAAAACGGAGCTCTTCGCAAACGACTTGAATCATCGACAATGGCTCAAAGTGAGAGATGGGAAGTCCCGCTCGACCGAATGCCATTTTTGCGATTGCTCCCATTCCAAGATTTTCCGCTGGCATCATCTTTGCTGGAAGATATGAGCGACGTTGACGAGCCACGCCGAATATTGGGACCTAGAAATTGAAACCTTCAACAACAGCAAACACAACAAAATTAAAACAAAAAAAAAACGCCTACCTTTTTTTGTAGTGGTGGCGATTCAATCAATTGATCCTTGGCCGGTAGTTGTGGTTGAACTGGTGATGGCTCTGCCTGAACAAAGTCAGATTATTAATTAAAGCTTGAGAGCTTAAGATGAAAGAATTTACCTCACGAATAAGCTCATCAATGAGTCGAATCCTTTCCATGATTTGTTCCCTAAAAATTCGTTGATTTTGTTCTCCTCAATAAATACTTTTCTGTGTCAGCCGTGGGTGGTGTCTGGAGGGAAGCAACTGCAACCGGACTTCGTCCATCTCGCGCATCTTCAAAAGCATCATCATCCTCAGGGCTTTCTAAAACTAAATTAAGTGCAGAAAAAAAATGGGATGCTTACTCAAACGAGCCGTCCTCAACATCCCAGGGGGCACCTCGTTCCCGTCGGAAGGCGGCTGCTAAAGAGCAATCAGCAAAGCTAAAAAGCAACCCATTAAAGTTATACCTTTCCTTTAATTGTCGGTTTGAATTGTGAAATGGTGAGTCGAAGTTCTTGCACGGTTTGCTGCAAAAATCATAAAAGTTTATCTAAATTTCTCCAAAACCTTCATTTCTTTTTGCACGCTGGTCAGTTTTTCCGCTGTTCGTACTAAAGTCGAGGCCACCTAAAGAACAATATCATTCTAATATCAAGAATATCAAGCTGCATTTACATCAAGCGACATGGTGAACATCTCTTTTGCCTCATCCATCACTCGAGCAGTCGCCTCCAATCCCTCGTGGATCTTTTGATTGCCACTAAAAGAAATCTTTTGATTGCCACTGTCACTTGATTTATGCTTAAATTTGATCATTTAAGCATAAATCTAAGATTATTACCTAATCGGCGAAGAGCCGGCTTCTTTATCACGACTAAAACAAAGAACTTATTATGTTAAAAAGAAAATGGTCAAACTTTTCCTTGTCCGTCTCATCAGGTACATCGGAAAGTTCACCAGAAGATGCTTCCGGTTGTGGCGGGGAAACGGAACCACTAAAAACAAACAAAAAAATCAATAAAAATATAAAGCTTGTATCGAGCTTAACTTAGAAATAAAGGTTTGACAAGGGCACTCACCCATCTTTTCGTCCTTCTTGTCGATAAAGGCGATGATTCTTGATGCCATCACGCCAAACGGTAAATGTCGAGCCGTCCAAGGGAGTAAGTATCTAAAAAAGATCGTAAACCTTTAAAAAACTACAAAGAGACCTGGGTAACATTTGAGAATTGGAGGTGAAATCGATGATAGCTCGCTTCGGGCACAACCACCACCGATCCAATGTCGATTTTCGTACTCCAAATACTGTTCGCTCCGGCGTCTTTTTCCTTCTTTTGCTTCTTGTTTTTCCAAGCCTTCAGGTAGCCTCTAAACATAATTGTAGTAATAAAATAGAGTTAAATATTAAATCTCTAGCTCTTTACAACGTAAATTTCAACCTAACGTATAAAGCAATCGTTAAAGCACTCTGCTAAATTCTAACTGAATAATTATAAGCAAAAAACCCATAAAACAAAAACCTCCCTCCTTGCTCAACTCATTTGTTCAAAAAAATGAGAAGCTTTGACGAACAAAATGTCTCCAAAGAAAATGATGAGCTTTACAACTATGTACTATGTACAACCATGACTTACAGTATCATTTAAAGCTTATGTTTACTTCTTAAAGATTAACACAAATCTCCAAACCTGTTCAACTCGGCATAGAAGCGTCTCGATCGTTTCCACCGTTTATTCCTCTCCTTTAGCAAAATCATCCCAGTGACGGGTGGCGGTATTCCTTCGGGACATCGTTCAGCCGGGTAATCGGGCAATGGCGGCTCGCGAGATAATCGGGGCATCGCTTTTCTCTCCTAAACAATGAGAAAGTTGAGTTGAATACACAAAAACATTGCTTTAACCTTGGCATTACGTTTAATAGCCGTGGCCGTGACCGTATAAAATGGCCGTGGAACTTAAGAAAATAAGCAATAAGAAACGTTGGTACTTTGGTGGTTGGGAGGGGCCACTTTTATTCTGGCTTAGTTGGATCTAATGTTTTGAGTGGTTGTATTGATATTTTTATCGATTCTAGTGTAATCAAATATGCTTAATAGATTGGGGACTATTTTAGCAAGTTTTTGGCAATTCGAGCCTAATCTCATGTACTTTAACCACCAAACGCTGCCGCAAAGCTGCTTACACTTGAAAATCAAATAAAAGCGGCAATATGAAACTTGAAACATATTGTAAATGCTCTAAAAGTATAAGCATATTTGATTACCTTATAATAGGTAGATAAAAGGTATCAATACAATCACTCAAAACCTTAGATCCAACTTAACAAGGATAAAACTTACTCCTCTCAACCACCAAAGTATCGAGTTTTTTAAAAACTCACCAACAGCACTCGCAAAAATCCGAGAAGATCGAATTGGAAGAGGACGAGAAGAAAAATGAAGCTTTCATCGCAACGAATCTATTTTATTGCATCTTTAAATGATAATTTTTCAAAATAGAAATCAAATTCAAGCATTAAATAATAATTTTCAAAGATAGCAAAATAGCGAGCATTCTCGATGAGGAAAAACTAAAAAAAATATAAATGATCAATCAGAGTTGGTAAGATCGATCAATCAGAGTTGGTAAGAGTAGGTAAAATTTGGCCGTTTTTGCTAGCCCCTCACTGGAGAACCTTGATTTTTAAAAATTTGATTCTGTCGCTATTTTTGACGACTCCAAATGACTCCAAATGATTACTAATTAAATAATTTTTAGTACTTTTGTTCTGTAAACATTTTTAAAAACTGATCAACAAAGGGCAACGGGGCGCAGGATTTGAGCCACAATAAACCAACCGGTTTCCTCAAAAAGAAAGAGATCGGCCTCGTTTTGTCTGAAAACACGAGCAAATCAATTGTTATATCAATTTCTAGCTAACTATGAGTCAATCTGGATTCTGAAGACTAATTTAAAAGCAGCTTAATGATTTTTGAATAGATATACTGTTTTGAGGCAATAGATTGGGATTTTACAGTAGCTTTAGTCTTTAAGCACACATTAGTCTTTGTAACCATATGTTTTTGGCACTACAGTCGAACTTCGATATAACGAACCTCAAGGGACCAGCCAAAAAGTTCGTTATATCGAAGTTTGACTGGATTTGTTTCCAATGAAAGTCAAAAACCCTCTTGAGATTCAGCTTTTCACTTTCCCCTCACATATCCACTTGTCTTTTCATCCAAAAAAAGCGCTCAATTTTTGTCCTTTTCCAGTCAAAAGTACTTTCACTTTCTAATGAACCTAAATTTTTTTAATAAGCAATTTGAAATTGAACCATAAATCTTTATAATCTTCTTTAAACCTTTATAATTTTCTTTAAATCTTTATAAACTTCTTTAAACCTTTATAAACTTCTTTAAACCTTTATAATCTTCTTTAAACCTTTATACCGTATTTCTTCGAATAGAAGACCGGGTAAAGAGTATCATCGCGTACTCCTGCGTAGCAGCCCTTTTTAAAATTTCTTTTCTGCATAAAAGCTTTCAATGAAGTGCTATAGGGCTGGAAAATGACTCAAAAATCTGTTAGCTCATGTGGTATTTTTGAGTCATTTTCCAGCTCTATAGCACTTCATTGAAAGCTTTTATGCAGAAAAGAAATTTTAAAAGGCTGCTACGCAGGAGTACGCGATGACACTTTTACCCGGTCTTCTATTCGAAGAAATACGGTAATCTTCTTTAAACTTCTCAATTTGCCACTTGCGCACTTATCACTTTTCGCTCTCTTGTATTTTAAAATATTGTTCCTCAGATTTATGATTACATAGCCAACAATAGACCGGGATTACAGTATGATAGATGGTAACAATATTTTTCGAAAGTTGACACTTTTTAGAAAGAAGTAAATTTAAAAACTTTAGAAAAAGCAAGTACACTCAATTTGAACGATTTTTTACAAAGTTTAAACTAAAATCTAAACTTAGTTCCAATTGCCAACTAGCATACATAAAATTTTTGAGTACTATTGCATTTCCGGATCGATTCTCTAAGAAAAAACATCCCGAAATGAAACGATTGAAGATTGTAGGAAGGGGGGATCGGGTCCCAAAATGGAGTTCTCTCCATCAGGGTCTCCTTTCTCTTTTTCGACAAAACCGGATCCCCGTGCACGCTTTGTTTGGCCATTCCCCGAGAGCTGAAAGGGACCAAAAAAGAGACCAGGAATGGGGAAAGGGCTAGGGTAGGGTATAGAACTGTCCAAGAAAGGCCAAGAAAGGAAAAGATCATGACACAGAGTGGTTTCTCTTCTCTCAGAAACGGGCCCAGTCCTTTTCTTTCGAACTTTTCTTAGTATTTCATTCAATCAACTATTTTCTATTATCAATAAAGCACTTTACAGGTGTTACTTAGCTGAATTTAGGTTACAATAAATCCAGAAGTAAGCTAAGGAATTAGGTATACAGTCACTATGTGACTAAACCCAATTTATGGGCCCATGGGACTTGGCAAGCCTCACTATCAGTTCCAAGACCCAATCCTGGCCAAAACACAGGTCCAGATCAAGATCAAAGTTTGATATCTTGTACTATTTCTCATTAACATTGTTTTTCGAATCTCTGCTCCTCCAAAAATGGTTCTCCTCCACCAGAAAAGGTGTTGTAATTTTTTTTCTACCCAACTTTTTACTTCAACTTAGCTATTTGGGATATGAGACCTAGCGCAGAAGCGTCAAATTCTAAGGGAGACATTTCAGTATTACTCTATAGCATTCAGTTTTCGAGAAAAATTCTTTTGAAAAAGATTTTGAGGGGATTTGAATCAGGGAGAAAAAGTGCGAAAGGCGATTTCTGGAAGGAATTCGGTTTTTCGGCTATGCGGCCACTTCTGGAAGGAAAGTACAGTCGACTCTCGATTTAACGATTCGTTCGAGACCAAAAATTTCGAATAAACGATTCTAACAGATGCCCCAAATTTCTTGCGTAGCTGCCCTGAACGGCCAACGATTGCGTTTGGCTGGGCAGTAGACATGCGATCCGATCGACCCGATCGGATCGCATCGCACTTTTGCCTTGGCCGTTGGCAGAATCCGTTTTTCTCAGCTTTCCCTAAACCAATTCGAAAAATTTTAGTATCGTTTGATAGGAAAAAAAACTAGCTATCGAATGGTACCAAAAGTGTCCAACTATTGGTACCAAATATGTCCAAATTGAAAGAGTAACAAAAAACAAAGCTGTTCAAAGTTGGACACTTTTGGTACCATTCGATAGCTAGTTTTTTTTCCTATCGAATGACCCAAAAAGTTTTCGAATTGATTTAGGGAAAGCTGAGAAAAACGGATTTTTCCAACGGCAAAAGGACAAAAGTAGGCGGGGTCAATCCGATCAGATCGCATTTCTACTGGGCATCTACGCAGAAACTAAGAGCGTAGTTTAGAATTGCTTTATCGAGAGTCTACCGTTTTATCGAGAGTCTATCGTTTTATCGAGAGTCTACCGTAATACTACTTCATAAATACCGCCGCGGCACCGTTTTTCTAAAAACTGACCAAATTTCAAAAGGATTTTTCACGAAAACTGGATGCTAAAAACTGAAAAACATGTATTTCATAGAATTGGCGCTTTGGCGCTAATTGGCGCTACTTTGGCGCTAATTGGCGCTACTTTGGCGCTAATTTCCATATCCTAAATAAATGCTGAAGCAGTTCCTTAGTTAGAAACTTATCCGTAAAAAGACCAAGGACTTAAAAGACCAAGGGCCAAGGACGTCTCGGTTCAAAGTTTTTCCGGAGAAAATTAAAATTTCTTTCAACTTTTGAAAACCACTTTATTTGAGGCTTTTTGAACGCGTTTTTGGCGCTATTAGCAACGCTATTTTGCGCTATTTTCGAGACTTTTGTTCCTAGATCTAAAAACTTTTGAAATTTTTCAACCATTTTCAAACTTACTACATCATTGTTACATTGCCAATCGGCTACAGGTATACGAAAAGTAAAAGTATGTGTAAACTGTGTGTAACTGTAAACGCAAGCTTTCTAGAGCACTGAATTCAGTGCACCAGAAAGAATGCGTTTACAAACTTGGGCATAACACTGATAAGCACTTGATGATAAGCAGCAGTGTTGTGTTCAAATTTGTAAACACACTCTTTCTAGTGCACTGAACTCTTCATAGAACATAGAACTACAGTTTACATATCTAAAACTGATAAGACTGTGACAGTGAGTTTCCTTTTTGAGGACAGTGTGAGAGGGGGACACAAAGGTCTCCTTTCTTTCTTCCCACACACCGGTCCTCTCCCTCTTCAATAGTCCCTTCCTACAAGGACCCATCTCCAAACAAAACCCCCAATCCCTCTTTTTTTTTGTGTTTATCGATTAGGCTGTCTTTTTCTATTTCGAGCTCATTTTAGATAACTACTTGTGTTAAACAAAGTTGTTCTAAACAAACAAAGTTCGTTCCAACGCTTGATTCAGCTTTTGAGCTGATTTCTGAAGCTTTTAAGTTAATTTCTGAAGCTTTGAAGTTAATTTCTGAAGCTTTAAAGTTAATTTCTGAAGCTTTTGATCTGATTTCTGAAGCTTTTGAGCTGATTTCTGAAGCTTTTAAGTTAATTTCTGAAGCTTTTAAGCTGATTTCAAAGAAATTTCATGTAGCTTTGCTTGAAAAATCGCAAATTTTCCAATTTGGACTTGGCGTGGTCGGAATTTTGAAAATCTAGTAACTCTTGCTGACCGTAAAACTTTCTTTGATTTCTTGGCCTGATTTTTGGCTTCTTTACTTTCAAAACTTGGTTTGGCTTCTTGGCTTGGCTTCAAAACTTGGCTTCTTTACTTTCTAAAGTAAATTTCCAGACTCTAAAGAAATTTCTTTCATTTACCATCAATTTTCTTTTCTTTCATTTACCATTAACAAATTTTAACAATTTAGTCCCTCAGGGATGACAGTGTTGACGACAATGAACGCGAGTGGGACATCGAAGGGAAAGAGGAGCTCTTTCTCGGCCACTGCTGAACAAGTCTACACATGTTGTTGTGGACTGCATGTCAAGGTAATAAGGAAAGATTTTTGGAGAGGGGATTGAACCATCGACGTTTTTACTTTCCGGGCAAATGCTCTAACCATTGAGCTATCCGGTAGCTTATATTGCCGAGAGAAAAAAAGGAAAAACAAGGAGGAAGAAGAAGAAGAAAGGAAGAAAGGAAGAAAGGAAGAAAGGAAGAAAGGAAGAAAGAAAGATATATTGTGCTTATAAGTGCACAAATCTCAAACCTGTACGCTTCAAGTGTACTAAAGCAAGTGTATTGTTCGCCTTTCTTTCAATTGTTTAATTAAGGCAGCAACTTGTTTCTAGAAGTAACGTGAAGAAGTGATTATGAGCATCAGAAAGAGTACAAAGTACAGTACAGTACAGTACAGTACAGTACAGTACAGTACAAAGTACAATCAGTGTATTATAAGCCGTCTTATTAAAGCTCAATAACATTCTTGATGTGTATTTGCTCAATTTTGTAAACGCACTTCTTCTAGTGGACTCAATTTCAGGAAAAATGTAAACACAGTGCTTTAAATTCTTCATTTTTACCCGCAACACCAAACTGTTGCTGTCAGAAAAGTGGAATTCAATGAGCTTTGAGAATTCAAAAGAATCTAGAAAAGTGGAATTCAGTGCGCCACAAACTCTTGAGCACAAAGAACATGTCAAAATCCATATTTTTCAGCAAGGTGTTCAAGTGATCGCTGCATTTTTCATCCTCTGCGTCATTCTGTTCCCAATGCAATTTTTTGACTCAAAGTTGCGGCATCGACTCGGCTTTGACCCGTCAATCGCCGCCAAATTCATCCTCGACGTTTGTGTTTATGATATGATTTTAGATAATGATTTAAATGAATGAATGATTTAAATGATTTAAATGATTTAAATGAATTAAATGATTTAAATTTAAATAATCTTTATGATTTATATTGGGTTGTCCAGTTATGAATGCGCGTTTTTACTATTTTGTAAACTTCTCAAGATATCGAACAGATGTATATGAGTGTTATTTATCATTCGAAAGCTGAAGATCTCCTCTACATTTTGGAATTAAAAGTTTTGGAATTTGTCCAGCTTTTGGGCAAATTGACTGCACAGAAGAAGGGGTGGCCAAAAAATGGAAGGGTGCCTTTGGATCAAGTTTTGGCTCCGCTCAAATTGAGTTAACCGTTTGAGCTTTGGCCAATAGATATATCAATACAACTTTTCAAAAAATATAACAATTTCAGAGCATCTTTACTTTTCCGGGCGGTTATTTTACACCATAAAACTTGAGGAATAGCTAGACTGAAATGGTTTTTTTTTTGGAAAACGACCTCTCCCTTTGTGCAGTCAATTTCCCAAAAAGTTAAATGAATTCAAAAACTTTTAATTCCAAAATGTAGAGGAGATCTTCAGCTTTCGAATGATAAATAACACTCATATACATCTCTTCGATATCTTGAGAAATTTACAAAGTAGTAAAAATGCGCATTCATAACTGGACAACCCAATAAAAGACAAACAATTGTTAAAGACCTTTAACACTCAATTGTCAAAGACACTCAATTGTTAAATTGTCAATTGTCAAAGACACATTACACTCAATTGTTAAAAACAATCAATTGTCAAAGACAATCAATTGTTAAAGACACTCAATTGTTAAAAACAATCAATTGTTAAAAACAATCAATTGTCAAAGACAATCAATTGTCAAAGACAATCAATTGATCTTTAACAAATATCCAAATATCTTGAAAATCACAAAACAAAATTTCCAGTTTGGTCTTCTCTTTTCGGAGGCTTTCTGTGCGGCGCTCGTTTTCGTTGCCATTCGATGTGAGGCGAAAAAGCTCTTATTGCCTTTTATGTATTCACAGGTTTGATTTAAAAATTGTTTCTAAAGATATTTAAAGATCTATTAAGTTTAAAGATTTAAGATTTATTGATTTGAATAAATCTAAAAGTTTACTAAATCTAAGATTCAAAAACTCAAAAACAGACTCAAAAAAAAAACTTTGCCACTAAAAAATTACTTTAAGAGACTTTTCCATGACAATTCCATGACAATTCCATGACAATTCCATGACAATTCGGCTATTTTTTAGCCTGCAAAGCGAGTAAAATAATATTTTATAAGTTAAAACAAAAAAATTAAATCATTTTCCTAGTCAAAACGAAGAAATTACATTCTTCTCTTTGTTTCCCCCTGGTACTTTGTGCGTCCCCATAAACACGCACTTTCTGGCACACGGCCGGCGAGGGGATCATAAAAAGAAGCGCGCTCGCCCTCACAAATCGTGGCGTGAAAAAGAAATGATGATCTAGCATTATTCGCCGTTTACCCGGCAGATTGTTGGTGGTGACAATGCTAAGTACTGAACCAAACTTTTGATCTTTTGGCTGGAAAAAGGATTGGTCAGTTCAAACACTAAAACCATGGTTTTAACCATTTCAAACACTAAAATCATGTTGCTTTTCAAAAATCTACACGTAAAATTTGATAAAATTTGAAGAAAATTCGGTCTATAAATCTGTAAAACTTCGAGACGAGATAAGATTTTAAAGTTCTTTTGTATTGAAAGCAAACGTTAAAATGGAGCTACCGCAACTAAAGTCAATTTTAAAATGTCATTTTTCAGTACTTTGCCATGGCTTTTTCACTAGCAATGGCAGTGATCTTCATCTTTGATGTCGATGCCTGGTTGGGCGAGTTTCGGACACAAATCGATAACTACGGTAAGAGTTACAAGACTTAAGAGCTACAAGACACTTTTTGCACTTTAGCAAAGAAAGCAGAGCAACTTTTGTTTTTCAAAGAGCCGATATCCACGCTTTAGAAAACGAAAAAACGAAAAGTGCTTGCAGAAAGCTTGAAAAGAAAGAAAAAAGTTTGAAAAATGCAAAAAGTTTACACAAATTATGTCTTACGATAGTTGAAAAAGAATTATCGAAACAAAACTAGGTTGAAGTTGTATTTAGATTAATGTTCTAAGGCTAAAGCTAAGGCTAAAGCTAAGGCTAAAGCTAAGGCTAAAGCTAAGGCTAAAGCTAAGGCTAAAGCTAAGGCTAAAGCTAAGGCTAAAGCTAAGGCTAAAGCTAAGGCTAAAGCTAAGGCTAAAGCTAAGGCTAAAGCTAAGGCTAAAGCTAAGGCTAAAGCTAAGGCTAAAGCTAAGGCTAAAGCTAAGGCTAAAGCTAAGGCTAAAGCTAAGGCTAAAGCTAAGGCTAAAAGCTAAGGCTAAAGCTAAGGCTAAAGCTAAGGCTAAAGCTAAGGCTAAAGCTAAGGCTAAAGCTAAGGCTAAAGCTAAGGCTAAAGCTAAGGCTAAAGCTAAGGCTAAAGCTAAGGCTAAAGCTAAGGCTAAAGCTAAGGCTAAAGCTAAGGCTAAAGCTAAGGCTAAAGCTAAGGCTAAAGCTAAGGCTAAAGCTAAGGCTAAAGCTAAGGCTAAAGCTAAGGCTAAAGCTAAGGCTAAAGCTAAGGCTAAAGCTAAGGCTAAAGCTAAGGCTAAAGCTAAGGCTAAACTAACAAGATTCAAATTTTAGGGTATCACAAAACGCGATTGTTTGTATGCATCGGTGCGGCGATTGGCTGTCTCATTCACATTTTGATTCGTTTCTGGATTGCTGGCATTGTGAAGAAGTTTGTTTTAGAGAAATTGAAAAGATTACGGCGGCTACGGGATAACTTTTTCCACGCCACACCTTTTAGAAAACAGTCAAATAGCTGAATTTCTAACTATAAGTAAAGCCAATTAATTGATTTACCTAAAAAAATCCAATTAATTCTCATGATCACTACAATTGCCGATGTTCCAGATGCTACCAATATCTGGCCGACATGGAAAAAGCGAGCAAAGTCGAGAAATTGCCACGATTCTAAAGAAACGCCTACTTTCTCCTACTTTTTCCTACTTTTTCTGCAATCTTGTTTAACAAAACGGTGCCAAATCATGTCTTTCCACTCGTTTTTCCACACAAAAATTGTCCTATCATTGTAAAGTGCCTGTAAATAGTGAATAAATATGATTAGCTTTCAAATTTTGCACTAAATTATGACAGTTACAGATACCGTATTTTCTCTAATAGTAGTGCACCCCGCCGAGCCGAGTTGATGACTATTTTACGGTTTCCAAGCTTTTCCAGAAGCTCAACACTCTAATCATCGTCAAGATCTCATCGTCAGCTACATTTTCCGACCGCACATCGATAGGTTCTGATACGCGCTTTTCGAGATTTCGAGCAATTTAAGCGAAGCGGGAATTAGGGAAAGCAATGAACCGAAAGTTGCGTTTTGGCTAAACATAACCCAAGTTTTGTTGATTGATCGAGTTTTTAACGTTAGCTGAGCTAAGAATCTTTTAGCTGAACTGAGCTAAGAATTTGCTACTTAAGCCCCGCTCTTTTTTAAAAATAGACCCAAAAGTCAGATTCTCCATAGCCGAAAGCCCCTGGGAGCGCGAGCAAAGCTGAATACCGTATTTTCTCTAATAGTAGTGTGCACCCCGGTGAGCCGAGTTGGTGACGATTTTACGGTTTCCAAGCTTTCCCAGAAGCTCAACACTCTAATCATCATCAAGATCTCATCGTCAGCTACATTTTCCGGCCGCACATCGATAGGTTCTGATAAGCGGTTCTCGAGATTTCGAGCAATTTAGGCAACGCTCAGGGCGCACTACTATTAAAGAGAATAGCACCCGATGCTAGCAAAAGTGTCAAATTATTTGCGCCATGTATCATTTGGGTTTCCGGACAAAAGTCCCCCGAGCTCAATTTTGTAGATTTTTTTGCTAACTTGCCAAAATTTTGTGCTTTTTAGCTATTTTTATTTATTTCCATTATCTTTATTGCAGTTTATCTTCTTCTATTCGCCATGACAGTCGTTTACATGCCTACAATCTTAGCAAACTAGCAAAAAATACCGTATTTCTTCGAATAGAAGACCGGGTAAAGAGTATCATCACGTACTCCTGCGTAGCAGCCCTTTTTAAAATTTCTTTTCTGCATAAAAGCTTTCAATGAAGTGCTATAGAACTGGAAAATGGCTCAAAAATCTGTTAGCTCATGTGGTATCAGGGGTTTTTAGTCTGGGAATCTATCATTTGCGCCAAATGAGCTTTTTTTTTCAAAAACACTTGAATCACTCACAAGAATTAGTTGATTTTGTACTTGATTGACAAAAATTAGAGTATTTTGATAGATTGTTAGCTATAACGATCGTGCAAATTAGCTGTTTTCGACTTTAAAGAAGCGTTTATCAAAAAAACAACAGTAACAAAACATTAGCAAACAAAAACCTATGTAACACATAGGTTTTTAACCTATGTAACACAACAATTGTAAAATGTGAACCGTGTGAACAAATGTGAGTGGTTCAAGTGCTTTTGAAAAAAAGCTCATTTGTCGCAAATGATACGAGGCGCAAGTGACAAGCGGCGCAAAAATTTTGGGCGCAAACGATACGCGGCAAAAATTTTAGGCCCAAATGAAATTGGCACAAAAAACGTGGCGCTAGCACCTCTAAAGCAAATTTCTTAAAATATGGCAGCACTACTTAACTTAAGTAACTTACTTACTTAAGATGAGTAAATTTAAGTCAACTAAAGCTTTGATAACTGCAAATTTGTTTGTTTTGTGCAAGTTTTTAGACTCCCCTTGGTCTCGTTAACGCCTACGCGTTGCGCCTATCGACCCTTAAAGGCTTCGCGGGCAAATAGCCAGTTGCAAGAATTTCATGTCAATTCCCTCTCCCGCACTATTTGAACCCTTAATGTTTTTGTTTCTTTCGAAGTTTTTTTTAGTCGTCCAATTATTTTTTTCATTTTCTAGAGTCGATGGATTGATCGAGACAATGGCTTCAACAGAAACAGGATGTCAGCAAACGCCATCGAGTTCCCGGTACTCAAACGGAGCCTCATCATCGGCCGCCTCGGTACAACAACGACAGATCATAAAAACGCCTAGGGGTTTGATTTTGTGATATATCTAGGGGTAAAATAAGTATATATAATGTAATTTCGTAAGCAACTTTACGATATTGATATTATACAGCAAAATTATCGGTACTTTGGTGGTTGGGGGGCCACTTTTGGCTTGCTTAGTTGAATCTAGTGTTTTGAGCGGTTTGTGTCGATACTTTTCTTTTATTCCGGGCTAATGCTGAAGCGATTGGTGCTAATTTAAGCACGTTTTTGATAATCCTATTCGATGATTTGCCCTGTGTCCTAGCCTGCTATACTTTGACCACCGAACGTTATCTCAAAGCTGATTACACTTGAAAAGCTGCAACACTAAATTGAAAGATGTTGGAAACACTCTAAAATTAGCACTAATCGCTTTAGCATATCTAATTACCACGGGATAGAAGAAAAGTATCAAAACGAACCGCTCAAAACACTAGATTCGACGAAGCCAGGTCAAAGCGGCTTCTTCCAACCACCAAAGCACCAAATTATCTATACGTGGTACCTAATTTTAAACATTTCAGTCATAAATCAATTCTACAAGCTCGTCTCCGACCCGCAGCTGAAAGGAGGGCGAAAGCAACTTTATCGAACGTTGGGCAAAGTGATCTCGACGAATCCGGAAGATGAAAAGGTAAAAATTTAAAGCTAAAGTTATTATATGCAAATCTCTATGAAAGTATGCTTGTAGAATTGTGGAGAGGTTCAACTTTACTTACACATTTGAGTAGACTTTTTTATTTCTAGTACAACTGGAAACCGACGGATGGCCATTATGATCGACGACATCGAAAGAATCGAGATCCACCAGAAGTTGTGATTCCAATATTTAAAGTTGGTTTTGGATTATTTTTATTTGTTTTTCAAAGTTAAAACAATTGAGGGCCTGTCACCAAATTCTTGCGGAGTTCTTTATGTTCAAAGCTAGTTAACTTTAAGCTCCTTACCTCGAAACCGAAGATTTAAAGTTTTAAAAATTATCATGACTATTTTCAGATCGACGCAAACTATGTGACAACGCCGCCCCAACGTGAAGTATGCATATCGGGACTAAACGACAACATAAACGAGGAATTCTTAACAAAAACCGCCAAGTAACCTTTAAGATTTTATCGCAAAGCACAAACGTTTAAGCAAAATCGGTGAGCTTTTGAAAGTGCACGTCTACTACCATCCGGACACGCAGAAATACTTAGGGGATTGCACTGCTTATTTTCAGGTTAGTTTCTTTTTTTTGCCTGTGACCAGATAGTTCAAATAATTCAAATAAATGATAGTTTTGTGGATTCAAAACCTTGATTATTTAGAAGACCCTCGTCGGCGCTACAATTTTGCCAGGAATTCCACGGGAAATCTTTAATGGGCAACGTTCTCACATGTCTTCTTGATCCTTGGGGTATGAGCTTTAAAGTGATTTTTATAAAAGTTTTTTAGCGGCACTCGTTTCACAAAAGTTTGAGACTTCAACTTCACAACCTTGCCCGATTCCTCATCATTTACGAGACATGGAAGAAAACCGATTGATGAGATTACGAGAAGAAATGCTGACTCAACAATCACCTCAAGGTATTTGATAACTTGAAGCTAGTTTTTTAACGTTTATTAGATTTTCGTGAAGATGATCAAAAGTCGGAGCCGATGGAGTTGGAGACCGGATCGATGGATTCACCAAAAAGTCCTTTGCGTGAGTAATATTAAAAGAAAATTTTGTTGAGGTCAACGAATATTTTTTGTCCAAAGTCAAGAAAGTAACTATACAATTATTTCCTTACTAGCTAAAGTTTAGTTTCCTCCTTTCAACAAGAAGACCCAAGATCTCTACCTTTTGAGCCAAGTCCATCAAAAGCTGTTGCCGATCATCGAATCAACAATTTCTCTCATCAACAAGGTTCTCAACGAGTCACCCCACCATCAGAACGATTGGCGGATGATCGACCGAATAGTCGAATACATCAACTGCCTCCAAGTATCTCGCTTCCGACTGCAATGCCGCCAAAAGCACCACTAAGCCCCCATCATTATCCCACGAAAGGTTGGTGTTAAACTGATGAACAAGTTTTTTCTAAGAATTGTAACTCAGATTGCCTTTTTAGAAGAACTTCCTCAACTCAACTCGTCACGAGTGCTTTTTGAAGAGGCTTCGAGTAAACAACAGAAAAAGTTTGTTTCGGTTGTAAAAATGCAACTTCTAAGTTTTAGGGATAGTGGACGAAAAAGAAAACGGCATAACCGACATTCTTCATCGTCACCATCATTGAATGAAGAGAAGAAAGAGGAAATTTGGTAGCAATTTTAAGTTATTTCTTTTACAACAAAGTCTCAGGAGAGTCAAGCGGAAATACATCAAACGGGAAGAAGAGAGAACAGAGATTGTGAGCCGAGTGACAATAACGAAAAAGAAAACGTGAGTTTCTTTTTAGTAACGATGTAATAAATAGTATCTTGATATTGTGTTGAAACTCTGTTTTTAGGGTAAAACGATCACTTTCACCAGTGGTTCCTGGAGCAGAAGCGGTTTCGGATTCGTCATCTTCAAGCAGTTCTGACGAGGAACAGCTGCATCGTGGCCTTAAGACTTTGTTGGATGATAAACGATGGTTTAAGAGAAAAGAAAGAAGTCGAGAAGATACCAGCGAGCATGCACGGTTAGTTGTTGATTGATAGTTGATGTATATTTTTAAGGTGACCTTTATACTATAACTTGCAAAATTATCATTGAATTTTAGTGGCACACACCATTGGACGAGTTCGGATTCGGAAAGTGATGAAGCGAATAATAAAAGAAGAAATCGAGGAAAGAAGAACTCAAAACGACCGAAAAACCGAGCCGATTCATCGCGAGAAAGAGCGGAGTTCGAGAAGTCGCGGATATTCTAGACAAGATCATGCTCGAGTGGGTCTTTATTTAATGTATCAGGTTTATTACCATCACGTTCAGATTCTCGATCCATCACCAAACACATCGGTTGTCTGCTTTCTTCCCTCACAAACAACTTTTGATGTTTCGAGTCTACCTCTACCACCCGGTGAGAAAAATGAATGTTTTGTTGCTATGTTGTTTTTGTTTTTACCAATAAATATTTTGCTTCTAGGCCCACCACCTCCATACTCTGCAATTCAACAAATACCGCCGGCATCAAAACCCGATGAACGAGTCCCATCAGTCGTTTTCCCAAGAGGTTGCTAAATCGTTATATGCCTTTTACTCAAACCTTTCAGTTCCCTATGTACCAGTTCCACTTCATATGGTTGATTTCTCTGTGCCACCGCCCACATTGAATGGAGTCATACCTCAGAGACCGCCACCTCCTGAAGTAATTTTTGTTATAAGAATACCCCAAAAGCTCTAAAAATATTATAAGTCTATAACATTGTCTGATTGAAGCTGAAAAGAGTATATAAAATAATAAACTGCTTTTAGAGTGTCACCGACGCACCAAAAGTCTATCAAAGAATCGAAGAAATTGCCGGGAGAAGTTATGTAGACGAAACATTGCCGCCCCCTTCAAAACCAAAAGTGAGTTTTGATTTGTTTTTACTAATTAAGAAAAATTTAGGAAAGTCTATCAGAACGATTGAGTTCCTTGTTTAAACTTGATATCGCTAGCACATCCATTTCCGAACAGTCCCGAGCCACCAGTGACCCCGGTGAAGCCGAAAGTTCATGAGTGAGGTTTTAAAGATTAGACATCTTAGTTGTGAAGTAAACCATTTATAAATTGATAAATATTGAATTTTAGATCACCGAGCAAACCGCTACTACAAGTGAAAGAAGAACCGACGAAACGAGGAAATTACAAGGACAGCTATGCGATCGATTTGAATAAAGTGAAACCGCCGGTTGAACGAGAAGAAAAACCAAATGAGATGATTATTGTAAGTTGCTTTGAATTTTTTTCTAGTAGATATGTTATAGGTGAAGTGCATAGGCATGGTTGGAAAAACATAATTTCAATTATAGGCAATGGCGACCGGTGATGCACTATCAAAAGCGGCGAATGATTTGGTCATAGCTGTTCATCGAGATTTAATGAAGATGTTCGAAGTAAGAAAAGATTACGATTGAAAAAAATACATTTTTAGAAAATTTCTGCTGATGTCTTCAATGAGTCACTAACAAGGAAGCGGCAAGAGATGGTGGGAGAGAAATAAACAGAAGGTACTGTCAAAGCTTGAATGCAAAAACTTTTCTATTTAGGCACTGGAGTCTCTCCGAGCGACGATTGGCTCAGAAGATAAGGACAAAAACGAGAGCTTATTGAGTGCTTATGTGAGTTCATAACGATAATTTTATGAATTTCAAGCTTTTTTCAGATTAGCCCGGTAAAATTGCAGAACAATGACTTTTCAATGCCAAAGATGCCAAGTTTCCGAATGGTTGGACCATTTTGTTACGCGTTTAATTAGCGTTTAATTATTTTAGAAGAAAGTTAGTCAAGACTTTGAAGAACCTGCCCCGACTTTACCGCACTCAAGCTCAACGTCATCACGAGATAATGACTCGGATTCGGTCACAACAAAGTAAATATTTTTCTATTCATATTTTGCTTACAAATTACTTTTCAGAGCTGATGAGGATTATAATAGCGATTTGACGCAGGTGGATTCTGAATCCGAATCGATTGACTCTTCAACGGCTTCTTCTTGGTATAGAATTCTTGAAGTTTATGATTTCAAGGTCTTTTTAGTTTCACCAAATCAAAAGCGAGTCCTCTTCCCGAAAGCGAAGGTAGTATTTGGTGGCTAAAAACGTTTAAAAATCTAAAATTTTAGAACTGAAACGTGATGCCAAACTTGCAACACTTGCCCGAATTTTGCATGAAAAGGTAAATTTCGGCTTTAAGAAAAAGGTCTTTCATGGCAAGAATTTCTTGCCAAAGAGTAGGATGTGTTTAAGCGAGTCCTCAAGCCTCTCTTTTAACTCAAACTTACCAAACAACCATAAAAGCAGAAAAATCAACTAAAAATCTAACCAAAGAATTTTACCTTCAAATGTTTTCATCACCGAATTTTGCTATAAAGTGGCCTATCAAAGCCATGAAGGATCTAAATATAAATTGACGATAAGGCTCATAAAAGCCAAATAAATTACAGGACCTCACGAGATCCCCGGCCTCGATTGCTGACGAGGAGACTACGGAAATGGGATTGCTAGTTGTGAAAGAAACCGACGACGACACTTGCTCGAGGGTTCGTCCATTTGTCTTCCTGCAGGCAGAGTTGACCCAATGACTTCTTCATCGATGAGAGTACGTGGAGCTGGACTCGATCGCTACGATGCGCGCCTACTCGATCACTGTTACCCCTGTGACCTCGGGAAAACACGAGAGCTGGCCCTTCCGCCGCCCAATTGGACTCCACAGGGCGGGAAAACCCTTACAGAAGCGGCCACGATTCCCCTGGGCAGGGTAGAGTTTTGTGGAAATCGTTGTCGCGGAGTTAAGATCACAAATCAATCGCAAATTGACCGGAATATCAGAAAGATCCCCATTTTAACTTTTCGACGCTGGAATAGAGCTTCAAAATTTAGCACTAACTAACTATTGAATTTTTGTACATGGGCTGAGGCTATTGGGTTTTCGGTACTCACACACTGTAAACGGGTCATCGATTGAAAATTTTGTGTCCAATTGATCTGCGTCGATGATATATTCCTTATATTTTAGCCCTCCTCAACTACATCTGCACCTACCAAAAAGAAAAACGCCAAGGCGACCCGACTCGAGAAAGAGCTTAACGGTTAGTTTTTTAAAATAGATATTATTTGGATCAATGTTAAAGATATAAAGCTAAATTTAGCTTTACTACCGCCGGCGGTCAACAAGAAGGATCTACGAGCGGAAACTCCCGAGGCGCAACGACCGAAGAAAATTCAGAAGAAATTCACCAAACGAACACTTGAAACCGAGCGACAAATCACCGAGAATCTGGTTTGTGCTTATGTTACTGCAGTAAATGAGTAAAAGACTTGTAAAATTGGTTGATTTTTTAAATTTTAATGGTTGATTTTTAGGTTTTGCTAGACACCGAGGACCAGGAGTATCTGAGAAAATCGTTGGCTTTGAAACAAGCAGAAAGAGAGGTCAGCGGATTGTTAATTTAAAATCACACTGGAATTTAGGAGCCGAAAAACTTCTCGGAATTTGGCGAACACCACTATCGAGCATCGACATCTCAGGACTATTACGTGCCGTTTGTGCCCTGTGAAACCGTGGCCACTCCGCGAATATTGGTGAGTAAAAAGTTTTGATGGGTACTTTAAGATTCAATTATTTTCTCTTTAGGATGTACCGACAAAAATCAACGGTCTCGAGTTGCACTATGACGACAGAACACTGGCTGGTGTGCGACCGGTGGATGAGGGGTGTGCGAAAATTAGGGTAAGGAATTTTTTAAAAATCTGCAGCCTTTTCGAGGTCGCCAATTGAATTAGTACTTTTTGATTGAGAAATTTTGGTTTTAAAGTCGTATTAAATCTGATCATTTAGCCTTATCAAAAGTTGACGATCAAAGAGAAGAGGAGTTTGATTCGACGCCCCGATGGAATATCAGACCTCCGAATGGATATCAGTCAACAGGTATTTTTTTGGAGGTAAATTTAGTGCAGATATGAATATGAATAAGTAATTGCGTTATTTATATGCAATTTTTTTTCAGGATGAAATCGCGATGCGACACCAGGCGCTGATGTCACGTGAACAGAAACAGCTGGCGCGGAAGCTTCTCGCTGACACAAATTCCGAACTTTTCAAGGCCAATCAATTACGGGTTTGTTAGTCATGCAGCTTTTGAGATGATTTTAGCCTTAACGTTGACTATTTTCATTCTTTAGTACCGAAAGAAGATGATCAAATTTGCGAGGTCAAAGATTCACGGATGGGGACTCTATGCAATGGAGACAATAGCACCTGATGATATGATTGTTGAATATATCGGACAAAAGGTAATTTTAGTGTCGTACACTCATACCATTTATCTGTTCAGATTCGATCGTCGGTTTGCGAAGAACGAGAGGTGGCCTATCAGAAACGAGGCATGGGTGACAGCTATCTCTTCCGGGTTGATGAAAATGAGGTGGACAATTGATTTGTACTTGTTTAAAGAGTAATTTTTGTTGGATTTATTCAAAATAAAAATCTTATTCAATCGATTTAGGTGATTGATGCGACTCAGAAAGGAAACGTGGCCCGTTTCATCAATCATTCGTGTTCTCCGGTAAGTTAAGAGTGGTTAAGCGTTGTTTACAGATTTTTCCAGAATTGCTATGCACGAGTGGTGACCGTTGATGGGGATAAACGAATTGTTATCTACAGTAAAGTGAGTATACTAACCTTTGGTTTTAATCAATCTAATGAGTAAATTAATGTGTCATAGACAGTGATTACGGTAGCTTTGCTAAAGTGCACCCTTTAAAAAGGCTCAAGCTAAATTTTCAATGTCATTCTTTTCAGGGTCTGATCAACAAAGGAGACGAGATCACCTATGATTACAAATTCCCGATAGAGGACAACAAACAGGAGTGCCTGTGTGGAGCGCCGAATTGTCGAGGCACACTTAACTAATATGTCCAACCTAATTCTTATTGCTTGTATTTGTTCGTTTATTGACTGATTTATTGGGCCACAAAATGTGCGTCTTTTTCTTTGTGTGTAAAATTCACTGAACTGGTAAGTAAGAGAAGTTTGTTTTTGAGGTAATAAATATTTCAAAGCTCTGGATTGTTAAACGTGGAATGGGTTTGGCAAAACATACGCAAGTACTGTAGTATCAAAATTTGCATAATGGACATATCGATATCGCCAAGACCAGTTCCCAAAAAAACATTTTGTCAGCCAACAAAGAAATGGCAAACAAAATGACTTTCGGTAAAGGGCTTGGGGGTGGATTGGGAAGGGCACACAAATAATAAATGCGAATTTACAAAGTTCATGCAAACTCCCTGACATCACCCTGAACACTTGAGAGCCATCATAGCTCAACTAAACATTCTAAGCTATGATTGCTTTAAAATGTTCAGGGGAATACGGTAAAGCGTTGGGATGGGTTGAATGCAAATTTATAGGTGAATTTTGGCTACTTTTAGACTATTTCCTCAATGAGTAGAAGAATTGTCGGAAAAAAAATGTGAAAAGACCCTGATTAGAATCGTTTCTTTGATTGAATAGAAAGAAAAACACTTTGATCTTTTTTTGAAATGAATACGATCTTTTTTCGAGCAAAAAAACAAAAGCTATTCATTCAGCTGGAAATCAGAGTGGTGTTGCCCGCTTTTTTTTTAGAAAAATTTGATGACTCATTGTGATAACCTAATAGAACTAATAGAATATCTTCATTACTGCTATAGGTTACGCGAATTTGATCATCCTTTAGAAATGGGGATAGTGTAATGGGTTATTGTTGTCGTCCTACTGTCAAAAAATCCGTTTTCTAAAACGTACCCCATTTCTTCAAAATATCGTAATCTTTTCTCATTTATTTAGTCTATTAACTATATTTATTTAATCTGTTAACTTTTTGTATCTTTCGATATCTTTTTATGAAATTTCACAGAATCAGACAAAAGTGAATAGATTGGATAAAAATAAAGACAAGATTACAATAGTTTAGACAAGATTACAATAGTTTAGACAAGGTTACGGTAGTTTAGACAAGGTTACAATAGTTTAGACAAGGTTACGGTAGTTTAGACAAGGTTACGGTAGTTTAGACAAGCTTACGGTAGTTTAGACAAGGTTACGGTAGTTTAGACAAGGTTACAATAGTTTAGACAAGATTACGGTAGTTTAGACAAGGTTACAATTGTTTAGACAAGGTTACGGTAGTTTAGACGAGGTTACGGTAGTTTAGACGAGGTTACGGTAGTTTAGACAAGGTTACGGTAGAAATGGGGCACTTTTTAGGCAAAATTTGAGACTAAAGTTGTTAACCAACTAGCCGCCTGGATTACGGTATCAATATTTTGTGCGCTTGTGCTAACTTTTCCTGTAAACGATACTGTTTTGACACGTGTCATCACTCACTTTTTTTCTCTCCGGTGTTGACACTCGACAAAACCGTACCGTATTCGGAAATTACTTATCTAGGAGAGATTTTACCATAGCACAGCATGAAAGCTTAGCCAAGAATAGAAATACGACTGAATAGAAATACGACTGAATAGAAATCCTATAGATATAGTACTGAATTACTGTAGTTGAGTCTGATACTTGCTATTAAAGAAGTTTTGAGCAGCGTCCTCGAGGTGACAACTTGACGGAATGAGCTTCTGGTCCCAATCGCCCGAAAGCTCGACTTACAGTACCCCGAAAATGGGCGGAGTCTGGAGCGATGACTCGATCATCGTGTTCTTTTTAGAAATAGCAAATCTTAAAGAAAGAGAAATGCTCTGTGTGTTCCAGAAAGCTGTGAAAAGATGGCAAATGGTCGAATGAATGGGAAAATTCGCACAAAAACAGCGACACATCGATTTTGTGACAGCTTTCCGCTGGAGAACTAGAATTTTGGGGAATTTTTGGTAAAAAGGGCTTAGATTGGGCTTAGATTGCTTTAGATTGGCTTAGATTTTCACAAATGGGTTTAGATTGACTATAAGTAGATTAGATTGGCTACGAATAGGCTATAAAAGTAAATTCTTAGGAAATATGTGAGGAAAAACTTCAAAATTCAAAATTTCTACCTTTTCCTATTTCTTGACCTTTCTACCGTAATCCATGGTCGATCTCTAGTCTATGCTATGTCTACAGTAACCCCCTTAGATGCAGTCTTACCGTAAAGCCTAAATTAGAGTAAAGTATTAGACGTACCGTACGTTGGCCTTCATACAGTAAACTTTTGATTAGACTTCTAATTACCTTACGCTTAAAAACTGAAAAAGCTAGACAAGCTAGATTTTTAGACAAATTATTGATCTAAATTTTTTGATTTACATATGTTTTTATGTTTTTGAGAGTGATTGAGAAGAATTGGTTACTTTTGCGAAATTTAATCCCTTTCACTTGAGCTTATTGCGCAATAGCACTTCTCAACAGCACTTCTCAACTCTTCTCCGAGTTGACTCTTTCAAAAACTTTACCAAAACCAAATCCCGATAATCCTTTATGTGATTTATGTATTGAACTTCGGTATTATAATCTAAACAAAATGATTTCGAAAACGAACTTTTTTTCAAGCTTTTGCATATACTTTGCCCACTCGCAAACGCCCATTCTCTGGCACACTTGTGTGGTGGACTTTGTTTTTTTGTAAACAAATCCCTTCTGGCGCACTCGATTTCCGATTTTGCCTGCAAAATTATGATCTTGGTTACAGTAATCGAGCCAAGTTTCAGACCCTGAGCCACTGTACTCCTACTGTATCTCATAACTCGATTACAGGAACGATCCTAACTTAGTACCCTGGTTACCGTAGCGTTAACTAACTTAATGTTAAAGCTAAGAAGCGTAAAGAGCGAGCCTTGTAGGCTAAATCTACCATAACTCTAACCACCGTAACCCTAGACCTCACTCAGCTAAAGCGTGCCCGACTACCGTAACCCAAACCCGATTATTTATCTATAAAGCTCAAGTCTAGTATAGAGATTGCGGGTTACTGTAGCTAGGAAAAGCTTTAGAGCTATTATTGTAGCTAGGGAATGTTTTAGAGTGGTTACGGTAGATAGGAAATGCTTTAGAGCGATTATTGTAGCTAGGAAACGCTTTAGAGCGATTACGGTAGATAGGAAATGCTTTAGAGCGATTATTGTAGCTAGGAAACGCTTTAGAGCGATTACGGTAGATAGGAAATGCTTTAGAGCGGTTACAGTAGCAAGGAAGCGCCAAAAGCAATTACTGTAGCTGGCATGACAATGACAATAAAGCCTAGAGGAAATCTACCGTAACCACTTTTCTATTTAGCACTAATTTTATTGATACCAAGCCATCAAACCAAACGGTTACGGTAGCTTGATTGTGAAATTTTCTCAAAAAGGTCGCCGTCTTCAAATGCGATCCTTCACAAGTTTCTTTGAAACAAAGAAACAATTGTGTTTTCCTTTTGTTCATTATCTGTTTAGATTGAATATCTTTATAATCTAAACATCCAAAATCGAGTATTCAACTTTGTTTTTCTTTGCCGATCGGCGTTTTTCTTTGAAGATCTTTGAAGAGATGACCGTCTTTTGTCTTTTCTCTAATCAACCACATTTCTGAAAGTTTTCTCAACAAAACTCGAATGTTTCTAAAAATAACTCAAAATGTTTTGATTAACAACGCTTTTCAGTGAGAAATCCAGTCAAAGCATCGTGGAAATTGAATGGAATTGAGCAAAAACTTGCATATCCAAGATTTTCAAGTATTTTTGACTGAATAGCAATGATTCAAGAATGGATTTTTTATTAACCTCTAAAGCTATAATAGAATATTCAAAGAATTACTCTAAACAACTAGTAAAACGAGTTAAAGACTGTAGAAAGCAAGCAAGTACAGCTGTACACAGTTCGGTGCTTTGTGCTCTAGTAAACGCACAGCTTCTGGCAAACGGGAAACTTGAGTGTGCCAAGAAATGTGCGTTAATTGCTTTTTTTGAGAAAATAATTAGAAAATTTTTATGGCATCAGTGTAAAGAAATATTCTTTTCGTGCTTGGTACTCTTCACTCAAGACACGTTATTTCTTGTTTTGAGATATCTAATCTCACTTGAACTAAGACACTTTATTCAATAGCCGACTATTGTAGAGGATCAGACAGATACAGGGTGCGGCATAAGTATGGTTACAGACTCAGAACCGTGTATCGTAATGAAATATGAACGGATTCATGTAAATTTAATTTAAAATTAACAACAGTAATCATATTCATTTAAAAATAACAAATTATTCAATATGGGCACCTTTATTCTTGATAACGGCTTTAAGACGCTTTGGATAACTTTCCACGGCGGCCCGCAGGGTACTTTCTGAAATTTCCGCCCAGGCTTTCTTCAGAGCCTTTTTCAGACTTTCAAAGTTTGCATGTTTTGTTGTGCATCCTTTTTGCTCCAAAATTGCCCAAACACAGAAATCCATAACATTCATGTCGGGCGAGTTAGCTGGCCATTCATTGGCGGGAATGAAGTCGGGCAAATTGTTTCGACACCACTCTTGAGTCTTTTTTGCTTTGTGCGCTGGGGCGCCGTTTTGCATCAACGTCTAGCGCTGATTTTGATAATCTCCTTGACTCCACGGCTGTGCATGTTTTGTGAGAACGTTCAGATACACGTCTGTGCTAATTTTCAGCCCTTTATTAACGAAAATCAGCGCTTGCTGACACCTCTGCAAAAACCATGACTCCTGCTGGATGTGAGTTCCTGTCCACAAATCGGTCACTTTTATTTGCTTCTTGAGGGCTGTGAGCAAAAATTCGATCATTTTGAGAGTTGAAAACTTGCTCAATGTTGACTAATTTCTCGTCGGTAAAAAGCATCGTCAGACGCTCATCATTTGCGGCCCTCGCAAGAAGAAGAGCACATTTTTGCTTCGTGTTTCTCATTTGAAGATCCGTCAGGCCATTATGCTTCCTTAACTTGTAAGGGTGAAGGCCCAGAT